ATGGTGGATGGCAGGGGATGGGTCTTTGGGGCTGGCCAATGTAAGCGCTTTTGTTGGTGGTGCTGCCGTGGGGCTGAGTGGGAAGAGGTGGGTGGATTTAGAGGTGAAGGGAATGGTTAATTAGGCGCTTTTTTGGGTTTTGGGACGGGGTGGGGAGGGTGTGATGTATGTTTCAAGCATGTAATTTATCTTTTTTATTTATGGGTGCTTACTGCACTTATGTTTGTATATGTTTGTTTCTGGATGTACTTTTCTATTTACTTAGAAATTTTAACATATACATATATATATATGATGGATTGTTTCAGAAAATTTTTAGGTATGATCTATTGTATATTATACGTGAAATACCATAGGTTTACGATTGTATACATTGAATCACTTTTGAAACTATGATTAGATTTTGCATTGCAATGATTGAAACGATTACTAACGTTTGAATAGGAATGGTTTAGCTATATATATATATATATGTAGCTATATATATATATACACACACACATACATACATACACTTAAATTCCATCTAGTTTCCATAGACTTATAGGTATGTAAGATTGAAGTATTTTGTGTATATATATATATACAGAAATCCCAAGCCCTCGAAAGAGGGCACAACAAACCCCAAATGACAGCAACACTCCCAAAGCCACAAACACTCAAAGCCCGAAAACCCGAAACCTCGAAAACCCTTAAACCGCCCAAAACCAAAGGCTTCAAACCTAAAGCCACGGAAACCTAGAACACCCAAAACCCCAAACCTTTGAAACCTCAAAAAGCTAAACCCCCAAAGCCCTACCCCCCTAAGCCCCTACACCCCATCACAAAACCCTCTAATGTTTTTTTAACTCCGGGACCAGAAGCCGAAACGGGCCGCCATGTGGCTCAAAGAAAGAAGCTTCAAGCTTAGTTTTTTTTCCAGAAAACCCACTCCCGAGGAGTGGGTTTGTCCGAAGACCCCAGAATGGGGAAAAATGGAAGCTTCCCGACGAGGAAGCTTCAGAAAGTGAAGGCCAAGGCCAAGTGTGTGGCCAAGGCCAAAGCGAAGGCCAAAGCGACGGCCAAAGCGAAGTCTTTTGCTTCAAGGGCCCTGAAAGGGGCTCTTGCGAAGGCCAAGGCGAAGGGCCCCCTGAAAGGGGTGCTCAAGCCGACGAAGCACAACTTGAAGAAGCTGGGAAAGGGGAAAAGTTTGTCAGAAGTGTATCATCATCGTCAGAATTGTTTGCTGGCACATCATGGGGTGACAGAGCTATGAGAGCCGCCAACATGGTCTTGGCTTTGAAGAGAAGCAATCGATCAGACCAGGCCAATGGCAGGTCACACTGCAACAAATGTAACAAGCAATCACTGACTTGGTTTCCTTCCACCTCCGGCCAAGTAGGCGGTAAAGCCGTCACTGCTTCCAAAGCCCATTGCTGTTCTTCAGCCACAGCCATGTTTCTGCCTTGAGCCAAAATATGCACAAATCATGAAGGACATGACATGGCCTGACCTCACTGACAGTGGTGGCAAAGCAATTGAACAAGTAACATCCCAAAGAACTGCGCTAGAATTTTGACATGCATGTCACAATCGTGCTTGCCCCTATGCAAAAAGCCAACATAATCTATACACATGGCAAAGGAAGAAGCTGTTATTGAGCGGTGCTGCTGCAATTCTGCAATACAGCACAAGGAGTGAATTCAACTTGTTTGATCCTATATACACTTGTTCAAAACTTGTCACTTGTGCTTGTCATTCCTTTGGCCCTTCCTCTTTTTGGACTCGTTGTTCTTATGCTTCACAGAAGCTGCAACTTGAATTTAGGGTGCACACCATCGCCACTGGCCATTGGCAACTGAGATTCAGACCGGGTTGGACTCAGAGCCAAATCCCCCGAAGAGCTCGAGGCAGCTGCTGCTGCTGTTGCTGGTGGAAGAAGAAGCGATCACACTCGGCAAGAGCAAAGCTGCATTGGAATCTCAAGGCAATGGAGGCAATATCCCAGAACTCAATTGCATTGACTCCACAGCTTCCGCTAAGCCTGTGTCCACTGACTCGTCTCCTTCAGGAGCTGTTGTGTAGCTGGCACCCTCCGGGTTGGGGTTGGCCTCCGGGTTCGGGTTGGCCTCCGGGTTCGGGTTGGCCTCTGGGTCATCCTGCGCAGAAGGGTAGGACTCATTCCAGTCATGCCAGCCTCTCCAGTTCCACCAGGCCCCTTTGTCCCAGGAGTCTTGCTCCCAGGTGTCGCAAGGATATGTCATCCTCTGGTGTTTGCTCTTTTGTTCAATCGGACGGTCGTTGTCAACTTCAATGTCCGTTGGCTGGTCCTGAATTGACTGGGTGGCAACTCCTTCTGTTTCATCGTAGTTCCGCCAGCCACGACTTGCCCAATCCGGAGTCTCATGTGGTGTGGGGTCTTCGCTGCTTCGGGCTGGGGCTTCCCAAGTCCGTTTGTTGCGTGAACCCGACTCAGCCTCATGAAAGACCTGTGCTCCATGCGGAAGCTTGATCCATCCATTGACACGAACCCACATGTCTGCCATCCAGGATGGCAAAAGGAAATGTGAGCTACACAGCCAGCACAATGTTGATGACCCTGTTCTTATTCGACAATTGAGAACATGACATGCTAGACAGCCAGCACAATGTTCATGATCCTGTTGTTATTCCACAATCGAAAACATGAGATGCCTTTTCACTTCAGCAATAACATCAAGCCAATATTGTGCTGAACATGACTCATGCACAATTCACAGTGTTGAGCCAAAATGCTCGGCCAATGCAAATAATTGTCCTGCTCACACAACACAGCAATCAACATGCACATCGCTTGAAAGAGGGAAATTGCCATTTTCCATGACTGTGACCCAGCCACCACCAAACCAAGAGCCAGACTTCGCTACAACTGGCACCTTAGCATTTGCCATTGTTTGGGCAGGTTGACACCACCAACAGTGTCCACAGTGATGATGGCGGCATCTTGAGGTCAATTCACATCTGTGCCAATGCAAGATTTAGCTCCACCCATGCAAAACCTTCTTGTTCCAATGCAATTTTCACACAGACATTCTTGCATTTGGATCGATTCTTGAACCATTCCAAATGCAACCCTCCACGCAGAAACACACTCCAAAATGCATTGTCAAATGCATTCTTGGTTTCTTGCACTTGTGCTTTCTTGCACAGTCTCACACATTTCTTGCGCATCCATAACAGTTGTTCTGGCAAGAAATGGATCGTGCCACACAAACTCTGCCAAACTCCCTGCCCAACAGTGCATGCAGTCAGCATCGAAACCATGATTCCTGGCATGTAGAACGTGTCTCTTCCTTGGCTCCCAATTGTACAATTTGTTTCTTCTAAATTGTAGCAGATTGTCTCCCACCTGACTTGGCGAATCCAGTTGTCGGGAATCAAGCTTTCTCAATTGCAGAAATGTTGACACATTCTCAGGCCCACCATGCACTTCAAACGGTGAACTCTTGCATTTGCGGAGCCTCCAACTTGAAGCCGAATGCATTTGTCGAATGGTCGAAACAGGAAAATTCAACAAAACTTCCCTTCCAAATTGAAGAATTGTTGCACATAGTGTCAATCCACATGCATTTCAATCAGTGAACTCTTGCATTTCCAGAGTCTCTAACTTGAAAGGCAAATGCACTGGTCAACGAACACAAAAAGGAACTTTCCTTTCGCAAAAGTTTTCACATTCTCTGTCATTAACAGTACAGAAGCATCACATGACATGACAGAAGCCATGTTGAAACAGCGAAAGCGAAAGGCTGCAGAAGCGGGTCTGACCTTTGCCGCACAAAACTTTCCGGTGGATATTGTTATGGATCCTGATTGGGTGAACAATTTCCAAGGATATTCGAGTCACTTGGTGGTTTCGAGTACTGACTTGATCGACCGAGTCAAGTACAAGATTGCAACAGAGCTCTGGACTATTCACCACAGGTGGCTGAAGCCGGACACATTCCATCTTGTACAATGTGAGATTCATCTGCCATACTACTTTCCGGTGACAAGCTATGCCACAGGTCATGTTGTGAGAATTGTTCGTAGTAATCCTTAGATTGACAAGGTTTCACTGCCACTGATGAATGTCTGTGTGTGCAAAACAGAATTGGCAGAACAGTGTAGTTCGGCAAATTGCGCATGTCTGCAGATGTGTTGGAGTTAATAGTAGCGCAGCTCGGCACCAGAAGTCTGGCCCTACCAAGAGGGGTGACCACCCGCTCCAGTCACCCTTTCACACCGATGGCCGGGTGTGGGGCACCCAGGGCCTGTGCCAATAGGCACAGCACTGCTGTGGCCAACAGGTTGGGGGTGCAACCTGAGCAGGACAATGAGCTAATGTGCTTGCTGGCAGTGCTTCCACAATGAGTGTGGGAATCCACACCGTGGTGGCCCTTGGGTTAGTTTGGGAGGCCGCTCTGCATTATTATTGAGTTTGGCTTGTTGGTGTTTTTTCATTGTGTCCCAATACCCTGAGCATCCGCTATTGATTAGGACCAATCGGGGCTGAGCCGAAATGATTTCGAAGGAAATCAATTATAAAACTTGATTTCTGCTATGTTTCATATCAATAGGTTAAAATGAAATCTGGAAGCGTAATATCAATATTTAAACCAATAGAAATTTACTCCAAAATCAATCTTCAAACCAATCTTTATGGGGGCCTTACAGTCCGGGTTGAGACCTTTTTTTGCACAAGGAGCACCTGCAATCCTGCCACTCATGGGGTGAAACATGCAGGGTGAAACGTCTGCTAACCCTGTTTCTAGGGTCTTGAAGCTGCAGAGGGAAAGCAGCCCTGTTTCTGGGGTTGAGGAGAGGGCAAGCAGCCCTGTTTCTAGGGTCTTGAGGCTGGAGAGGGTTTAGGGCCCTGTTGTTAGGGTCTTCGTAAGGTTGCACCCTTTTTCGAGAGGCAAGGCAACCCTGTTTCCAGGATTTCCAGGGTTGCCAAGCTTGCACCCTGTTTAGAGAGGCAAAGCTGCTACAGCCGCTCCCTGTGGCTAGAACTCATCGGCCATGCCATCTAGCTCCGGCACCACATCGTGTATGGATGGCCGGGTCATAAGCAAGTGCATAAGAATTCTATACTTGTGCATGCTTTTGACACTGAGCCGTGTGGAGCGAACTCCGGAAGACGCAGACTTTGCCAGGCGACTGACTCGGCCCACAAAATCTTCCGAAGCGAAACACCAATGAGCACGTGGGTTGAGAAAACGTGAGTTTTCTACCAGGTGTTGAAACGTATGGTGCTTCATTACAATCCTGAATCCAGGGTACCCTTTTTCAAGGGGCCACTGGTTCAGGAAGCTGTAGCTGTCGAGAAAGCCTTTTGCGAGGCTTTCTGCCTTCCTAAACTCATTGTCTGCAAGGAACATGTCGGCCGCATCGAAGACTTCGACGAGGTCCGACATGCACTCCAAGGCGGACAGCATAGAGCATTGCACAGGCTCGGTCGTGTCGAGCAGCTTCCCAGCCACTGTTGCGAGTGGCTTCAGCAAGTGTTTGTTCTCGGCACCCTTACACTCCAAGAAAGGAGTGACAGCCCATGGCGTTTTTGGATTGGTGAACATACTCAATCTCAAATTGGTTACACGGGTTTCTACTCGCAGAGCCGTGTATTCCCTTTGAATTGCTGCCCACAAAAGCCCGAGCCTCTCGGCCGGCGTTTTTTTCTGCGCGTGGCCGGGCTCGTCCCACCAACAAAAAAATGTAACACCGAGCCCAACAGGTGGGCATATATGCCTTTCGTGAACATAATGTGGAGCCCGTCGCCTCTTACAAGGCGAGTGGTCACACCGTCCAGGGTGAAGAGAGGATGGGCAGACCTCGGGCGCCGTGCTGCCTGTTTCGAGGTGACACGAACGAAGTTTTGCTTGTCCTGCTCGATTTCTTTGACCCATTTGCCATGTCGTGCTGCTTCCTCTTTCAAGGAAGCATCACACTCCCAGCACGGGTAGTGGGACTGCCAGTGTGGCAGTCCCACTACATTGCTGAAAAAGTCGTGGTCCCCTTGCAGGGACCAAATGATGCCTTTGTGATGGCCAGGAGTGAGAGGTTGGCCTTTCAGCTTCTCGAACACCGAACCCTTTGTCAAGGGTTCGTTCTCAGGCCCTTTCTGGGGGTGGTACCCTTTGGCGAGGGCATCGAAGCTCCAGACTAGCCATTTCATGATTGCAGGCCAGGTGCTCGCTGAGGTCGCTATTTTAGGGAACATTGCCATGAGGAAGTGCTTCATCAGACTATCGGAGAAAAGACTGAGAAGACTTCCGAAAGACCACACCATAAGGCTGTCCCTGGTCTGGTACTCCACACCGTCCCCGTGTACGAACAGCGGGACGACCTTCCTCTTCCAGTCCCTGCCTTTGAGGGCAGGTACATTCTCGAGTCGGTCGTCCCCTGTTGCGAGGGCACTGTTCCAAAAAGCTTCGAGCTTGTGCAAGCCCAAAGACTCGAAGATTGCCGGGTACCCTGTTGCGAGGGTACTGAAGACCATGTGTGGCAACATGATTCCGGCATCTTCAGTGGAGTCCTTGTTTGTTGTACGGTCCAAGACCGGGATGGGCACCTGCAGAGGCTCTGGCACACGGCTAGCACTGCAAAACCTTCTCGTCACGTCCCTGGCACAGTCCCCGGGAACTTGCCCGAAGTTGCCAGCCTTAGCCAAGGCTACAACTTCCACGTGCTCCACCCCGTCCAGTGTGGCGAGGTGGGCCAACCAACACATGGTCGTGGCTGCTATGTTCCCATGAGCCCACAAGGACAGCAACCCTGTTGCGAGGGAGCTTTCTCCACTTTCAACCCTTTCCTTTTGCTCGGCCGCGCCCCTTGCCAAGTCCAGAGCATGGCCTCTGAGCCTCTTGGCTGGCTGGCCTTGCTCACGGCCGGCCATGGCTCTAGCTTCCCTATGATTTCAAGCCAAAGCGGCAGCGAAGAGGTTCTGCTGCCAAGCAAGTTCCTTGAGGTGAGGCTTGGGCCTTGGGGCACTGCTTAAGGTTATTGAGGGTTCGGCTTGGGCTTGGGGCTTCTGGGTTTAAGGACCTAGAACCCAAAACACTGCTCACAAGAACCCTTTCTTTTTGGCAGAGCTGCAGCAGTGCGGTCCGGTCTGTCGCCAGCCTGTTGGCAGGCTCGGTCTACAAGCCGAAGCTGCGAGACGAAAAAAAACTTTGTCGAGGACGGTTGTGCTCTGTTTCGAGAGCAACGGCTGTTCTGCTCTGTTTCGAGAGCAAAGGAGTGCTGTGCTCTGTTTCGAGAGCACTGGCAGTGGTCTTACACCCTGTTTCTAGGGATGCCACTGTGCCCGAGCTGATTACTTCAGCTTCGAGGACTTGCTGGGTGTTTTGGCAGCCATCGCCAGGAGTTCCTTCCCTAGGTCTTTCGCCTGGTTCACCGTGGCCGCCGCCTGCTGAAGGAGGCTCACCACCGCCTCCTTCTTGCAGGCTCTCTTCGAGGACACTACCCCCTTCGTCTTCTGCAGCCCGTCCAGGTCTGCCAAGGCTTTTTTGGCATCCTTCTGCGAGGCGGCACTGCAGTAGGACGAAGCCTTGGCCTTTGCCAAGGCCTCTTCGAGGTTGTTGTAAGTGCACGACAGCAGACAGCAGGTCCCTTGCCTTCTTGGCCTTGCCCAAGTAAGCTTGCACGTCGTCGTCCTTCTCCTCCGCTGTCGAGCCGTCCTGCAGGGCGAGCTGCCCTTCCTCCTGCTGCTGGCCTTTGCCTTTCCTGCCGCCTTTTTACCTGGCTTTTCCATTCTTTGTCAAGGCCAGAGCCCTTGCCTTTCCCTTTGCCCTCTGTGAGGCCCAGAAGCTTCTCCACGTCCAAGGCGAAAAAGTTTTCCAGGCCTTCTTCCTGCTCGTCGTCGTCTTCGAGGTGGAACTCTTGGCCACGGGACCAGTTCCGAGACCTCCTTCCAGAGGTCTCCTTGACGAAGTCGTGGTTGTCACGGTATTCCCACACCCCCCACGTGGTTGGGCATTCCCGGTACTGCACTCTGCCCGACTGGCAGTGGGCTTCAAGCTCGGCCTCTGTCCACTTGCTCAGGGCTTTCTCCGACAACCACCTGTCAACTTTTTCAAGGTCGTCGCCTCCTCCCTGTTTTCTGAGAAGTTGGCGAACTGTGGCACCTTGTCTCGAAGGAACCACAGTGTCGCAGCAGCACCTTTCTCTTTCTTCCCCAGCTTGTCCTGCTTGTCTTTTGCCTCGGGGTTCCTGTTCAAGTGGGTGTTGTGCTGGCTCCACAACTTGCTCTGTCCAGCTTGCTGAGGCCCTGCTGGACCTTCGACACCGCCTCCTCTGCGGTGTCGGCTCCTTTTGCAAGGGCCTGAACCTTCTCTGTATGAATGAATGAATGAATGAATGAATGAACAAATGACAGAATGAATGAATGAATGAATGAAAGAATGAAAGAATGAATGAATGAAAGAATGAAAGAATGAAATGAATGAAAGAATGAAATGAATGAAATGAAAGAATGAAATGAATGAAAGAATGAAATGAACGAAATGAAATGAATGAATGAATGAATGAAGGAAGGAAGGAATGAATGAATGAATGAAGGAATGAATGAAGGAATGAACGAATGAATGAACGAATGAATGAATGAAGGAATGAACGAATGAATGAATGAACGAATGAATGAATGAATGAATGGAATGAATGAGTGAATGAATGAATGCATGCATGCATGCATGCATGCATGGATGGATGGATGGATGGGATGGGATGGGATGGGATGGGATGGGATGGGATAATGAATGAAATGGAATGGAATGGAATGAAATGGAATGAAATGGAATGAGAATGAATGAATGAGAATGAATGAATGAGAATGAATGAATGAGAATGAATGAATGCATGAATGAATGCATGAATGAATGCATGAATGAATGCATGAATGAATGCATGAATGAATGCATGAATGAATGCATGAATGAATGCATGAATGAATGCATGAATGAATGCATGAATGAATGCATGAATGAATGCATGAATGAATGCATGAATGAATGCAGGAATGAACGCATGAATGAACGCATGAATGAACGCATGAATGAACGCATGAATGAATGCATGAATGAATGCATGAATGAATGCATGAATGAATGCATGAATGAATGCACGAATGAATGCACGAATGAATGAATGAATGAATGAAATGAATGAAATGAATGAAATGAATGAAATGAATGAAATGAATGAAATGAATGAATGAATGAATGAATGAATGGAAATAGAAACATGTAGTAAATTGGAATGAAATGAAAGGCAATGAAGTGCCGTGAACTGCATTGGAATGCGCTGAAACGAAAGGAACTGAAGTAAATTGAAGTGACGTGAAAAAATGACGTGAAATGACATGACATGACATGACATGACGTGAAATGAGTGCAACGAATGAGTAAATGGCTGAAGAAATGAGGAGCCGCCCCGTCGACAGAAGGTGTGGTGGAGTGTGACAGGGCCTGTTGACAAGGCCTGTGTTAGGGTGTGGCCCTGTTGACAGGGCGTGTGGCAGGGTCGGACAGGGCCTGTTGAGGGGGCCTGTGGTAGGGTCGGACAGGGCTTTGCGACGGGACTTATGGCTGGCGGTGCATAGGGTCAGTCATCGGCTTGTGAGTAGGGGTGCGCAGGCCCCGTCGACAGGCCCTGTAGCGGGGGTCGATAGGGCCCTTTGCAGGCCTGTGAAAGGCACAGACCCTGTGGACAGGGCCTGTCCACGAAATGCGTAGGCCCTGTCATAAGCCTGTGGTCAGGGGTGCATAGGGCCTGTGGTAGCCTATGCCTCGGGGCTCTTTACCCATAGTTTCGCCATCCCCGTGCGGTGTTCCGATAATCAGGAGGTCACAAAGCGATTCCGCCTTCTGCCCATCATGACAGGGAGAAGAAAGCCCGTCCGCCGCCAACATATTGCCGGATTTGCCCGAGGAGCCTCTGAAAGTTTCTTTGTGTGCGGAGCTTGCCGATTGTCCTCGGAAGTCGGAGCAGCCTGCAAGCTCGAATTCAGCAGCTCTGATTGCACACGCGAAGAATATGACTCCGCTGTGGGAAGCGCCACTCAACACCAGACACCTGCAGGACAGGCCGAAGTTTGCATCCACTCGGACGAAGGCCTGGGAACCAAGAAAATCAAAAGTGATCGAGCTGTGGGCGCCAACAGCTGGGAGAGCAACATGTATGCAACTCGATCCCTGCAGGTCCTCGAAGTGCAGGAGACTCCTAGCTTGAGGCCGGGCGATGCGCCAGCGCAAGCGGGTATACCGGTGAAGAAACTTCATGTTCTTCAGAGCACATCACAGCATATGCACGTGCTGCATAGCAGCTCACAGGCAACAAGTGGCGGGCTGCATGTCTGCGTCTCAGCGGTACCACACTATAGGGCACGACCCCATCGCGTAGCTTGTCCTGTTTCCCATGGAATGGTCGTCTCAAGCTTTACAGAGGCAGACAATGCTCGCAACAAACCTCGACAAGGAGGACCTGGATGCAGGGAATTTCCCACGACAACCGGCAACAGGACCTTTGGCACTCGCTTGTTCAAAGGATGAAAAGCTCAGCTTTCCGCGCAGAGTTCTCGCTCGCATCGTGAAATGCTGGCTGCGACTTGTTTGCACAATAGCTCATCTGCCTGACACACTCCTGATGGCTGCATCTCAGCCAGAACTGAGGTTTGAGGCCTTCTTTGCACTCGTGCCTGAAGCTTACTTCGTGGCAGCTGGCACCGGAGATCATGGGAGCCCAAGCCCTGCCAGGATCCTCTCAAACTCGGTCTTCATCGCAGTTCAGGTGGAAGCCACCGCAAAGGATCCAGGCACAAGCCTGCAGAACATGTCCTTGACTTTTCAACTGAGCCTCAGACAGGGACAGGGGAAAAGGGGCCCTTGGGGACACCGCAGCCAGCTTCCAAAAGAACAGACTCTGCACTGGGAAGTTCCTCGCACACCTCGGGGTTGGAGAGCACCTGACCAAAGCTCACAGTCACTTCGGATGGTCTTTGCTCTCCAGATCCCGAATGCAGATCCTCACAGACTACATTCGAGTGCAGTTGTGTACTCCCGGATATGCCAGAGTTCCCTGTCCCGCATTGCAGCTCCATCTTGCATTTCGACAATTGCCAATGAATTCTACATGTCTTCAATGGATCTGGATGTGCTATGTGTGTCACCGATTTCCCCTCCAGAAAGGTGCTGCACAGCTAGGACATCGAAAGCGACATACAAGCATTTCGAGGTACACGAGCTTGCCCGCGGCAGCAACCCATTCGCACATGCCCAGCACGAGAACATGCTGTGTAGGCATGCAGTCTCCCCGCACGAAATGTGCAGAGACTTCGGTAATCTTCGGTACTCTGATCTCACCTGGAGCAGGCATTGACCAGGATGTCGGGTACTTCGTTGTGGGCTCGATTTACACTTTTCTGCCCCGCCCCAAAGCCGATTCAATGTTGCTTCAATTAGATCATGTTGCGTGGATGTCAGATGCTGAGGTTTACCACAGAACTTGTGCTCCGAGTGCTGGTGTTCGGCCTTACGGTCTTCATTGGACCAGTGCCTTAGCTGAGAACAGTGACTTCGAGCGCCTCCTTGAAAGTCCAACACTCGGCGACATTGCTGATGCTTGTACTCCACTGTGGTCCAGGGGCCCAGAAGCAAGTCATTTTTGTCACCGCATGCCAAGGGATCTGTCAGCAGCCACGGAAGACAGTCGACTTGTTGCTGTTTGCGCTTCTGCTGTTAGCTATGCCAGCTGCGGCAGCTGCCGTTTCTGTGCTTGCCGCGAACAATGCTTGATTTTAGGGCTACACCCCCGGCCTCGGCTCGCGGGATTCTAGCATGCAGCACCGAGCCGGTGAGACGATAAGCTATGCTGATGGCCAGCCGCCGTAGTCACAATCCGAACCGAATGCTGCCTGTGCCATGTCCGTCCAAGAGACTAAACTTCCAACTCGACCACGTCCCAACCTAACAAATACTGGCAAGTGCAGCCTTGGGGAAAGAGTGTACGGCTGCATCATTCCCCGAACCCTGTTTGTGGCCGCCGCATCCACGAGCACGACGAAATACAGCTATTCACATCCTATTCGATGGATGTGAGTATCGGCTGCACAGTGGATTTGTGCAACTGGGGGCTTCAATTTGGTGTTGTCCTGGCCATTGCCGTGCATGCTCCTCGTCATTAGACAGCTCTGATTTTTTGCTCAAGTACAGGACTGGGCCTGGCTTCTTCTGGATTTGCTCGTGGCGTGGATCTCAGAGTCACAGACCAAATATACGCTGAAAAGGCAGTTGCAAAGCCACGAAAAAGTCGATCTCCTTTCCGAAGATTCTGTACTCGCAAAAGCTATTGCAAGCAAACACTGTCAAGGCTACAGTCATAGGGCTCATATGCCTCGTTTTGGAAGTTCTCTGGAACGCAGCTGGTCAGCTGTGATGGTCTCAATGCACACCGCTGCGAGTAGTGGTGTTGCTATGTGGGAATCAAGCTTGTCAAAGGCAGTAGAAGCAGTGAACAGTGCCTCAGGGCAGTTCACTGTAGGGTAGGCCGGTCGGTGAGTGGGTGCAGACAGACAATAAAGTGATGCAGACTCGCACACGCGCAACTGCGCAACTATGTCATCATGCAGGTGTCGTCGAGCCTTTTTGAGTTTGTCTTGGAGCTTGCTCTGCAGCAGCAAGAGGCTCGATGCTGCACAGCTGGTGCTCGTAAGCATGTGCTTGGCAAGAAAGACGAGCGACTAGGCATATAAACTCAGCTTCCGAAGTGTTCCTGGTGGCACTGTGGAATTGGTGTCTGCAGGACAGCACCAGCGTGCTGACAAATATGCGGCTTCTACGGATCTTGCGCATCGGAAGAATTACCCGCGCTATACGCGTGGTGAGGCCACGGGTTGAAACGAAGGAACTACTTCATCTCAACATATCGTCAACGTGCAATGTCGCATTCAGGCAGCGCGCAATCTACTGTAAAGTACACTGCTTGTGCACTGATTTTTCTGGTGCTGTGCGTTGATGCCCATGATGGTGGTAGGATCAGACAGTTCCCATCCTCACCATTGCTATGGCTATTATCATTGCAAAGATCCTGAATAGCATCTTCAAAAGCTTCTTATTCATTAGTTTCACCGCTTTCACCTCAACCACCATCTGCCGAATCTTCGTCGTCATCGTGATACTGACTGTGGCCGCCGTCTTTGTAGTCACAAGACGACGTTGCTGTCGTCCGAATCATCTGTGTTGTCGTCATTTCAATCATCATCATGGTCCACGCCGCCACGGCCACCATCGTCGACATTCAGTCATGTCGTGTCATCTCGTGCTCCTGTGCAGGCTTGTGAAATTTATCCGGTCGCTACGGCAGCTTCTGTACTCCATTGGACAAACCCTCAGAGCCATGGAGGCTTGTCCGAACAGCTCCATCAGATCAAACTCCGTAGATTCGGCATCGGATTAAGCCCAATTGCATTTGCAGCATATCGCATTGGTTGTTTTCTTGTTTTGTCAGAAACTGTCCGAAGCGCCGGCTTCATAGTCTATATCTCAGGCATGGTCTGTGGTCCTTCTGGGCCTCATCATCTTTCTGTGCCTGGGCTAAGTGTTCTTGCGTCGACTTGTTTTGAAGTCTTTTCGAAGGTTTGGCCTGATATTCACTGACATATCCAGCGAGTACCTTACACGCGATGCGACTTGGATGGAGCGCGGAAGAATCACATGCGTTTGCTTGTGCGCCGTCTACCGAAACCGGTAGCCAATTTCTGGCCTCAGGTGATCGAGATCTCGGAAGAATACGAAGGCCGGGGCAAGCTGTCGCGAACTGCAGGCTTCCCTTTGTCCGGGGCCTTGATGCCAACTGTGTGCACTTGTGCGGCGCGATGGCAGGCTTCATCGTGAATCGATTCGGCGGGCTGGAACGATCGATGCATACGCTTTTTGCATCCGTTACCGGAGGCTTCAGGGCGAAAACAAGTCGACGCCCACTTCCCGGCAAGCACATAGAGCCCGATGCCAACCAGCGACGCTGCGCAGGCTTGACTTGGATCGAAGCCCTCGACGCCCTTTCGCACATATCAACAGTTTGGGGTCAGCAGCTCGGTCCTTCCCGCGAAAGCAGTGAGCAGAAGCTACACGTCAAAGGCTTGCTGTTTGAAGCCTACATAGCCTTCTGCTTGTTCGCAGCGCCTTGGCAACTTCTGGCGAAAGTGTGCGCATTGTACTTGACCTTTGAAAAACCGTCCAGTTGGGCCCAAGGTGCTCAATGTGATGACAGGTCCGCAAAGTTGAGCAGCATAAGACGGCTCGAACATGAGCACATCCTGCATCATGTTTTACCATGCAGGTGTCTTTTGTCAAAGCGCCATGGAAAGTGCAGCACTCGGGTCGAGTTGCACCTGAGCATGGATCGACGGTGCCAGCAATTATACCAGCTGTGTGCAGCACTCAGGTGCGGAAAAGGACCACGAGCTTGTTCTGCAGAATGTTGTCCAGGAGAAGGCAAAGTACTTCAGGGCGGTCCGTCGATTGTTTGCACAGACTCTCGGCTTCACAATCATGAGAAAAGCTAGTCCACCAAGCAGGACGGTTATCGGTGCCGATTGACGACTGACGATCGTTTATCGTTGAGGGACTGAACCCAAGGTTGGACCAGAACGGGGACGGCGGCATCACTGCCAAAGAATTCGAGGCTGTACGTGGACAGTGCTGTTGCAGTCACATTCTGTGCCAGTACGGCTAATTATTCCAAGGTCGCACTGGAGGATCCTGCGCTGATGCACGTGTTTGACGCGTTGGAGATCAGCGCCGACGATGCCTGGAACTTGTTCACCCAGCTCGATTCAGAGCTTTGGCTGCAACGTGCTGCAACTGTGGGACTAGCGATGAATCATCAAATATACCTTGGTCTTGTCATACCCGCATTAAAAAGGTTCAGCTGGTTTAGAGTTTAGGGTTTAGCGTTCAGCAGCTCCGGATCGAGCAGTATCTAGTCGAGTTTATTCTTGGGAACATGGAAAGAATACCCCACCCGCCCAGACAGAGAATCCCAAAACATTAAGAAACATGCAAAGTTTGCCATCTTCCCTGAGCCCAAACGACATCCTCAACCTCAAATGAAACGAATCCTACAAGGAACTCTAAGCGAAGCCTTAAAGGAAGCCCTGATCGAAACCTTACACGAAACCCTAAACGGAATCCTAAAAGGAACCCAAAGCGAAAGCCTAAACGAAACTCTAACCGAAACCCTAAACTGAATCCTACAAGGAGTCGGACTGTTATTCTGCAAGTAGGGTTCGCACTATTATGTTAAAGTTCGGGACTTTGCCAAGCCGAGACAAGGCGAGGCACGTTGAGCAGTCAGCGGAGGAGGAGTGGCAACAGCCGCGACGCCGACGGCAAGACACGGAGGAGGACGCAAAGCCGGAGGGACAGCCTGCTCTGAGTGGTCGTGGAGCCACAGGTCACAGGATGCCGAAAAGGGCGCCAGGGCAAGGGAACACGACCACGACCTTGCCGGTTATGAGGGGGCCGCGAAGAGCCTGATTGTGGCGAAGGACGCAGCGGAGGCCAAGATCGCGGTTGGCATGATCAAAGGAGTGGAAGCCACGGTCGTTGTGAGGGTGGTGGTGTTGCAGGAGTTCGCGGACAAGGCCGATTGGCACTGCGCGGCTTTCGCAATTTTGTCATGGGGCAAGCTCTCCGTTGCGGATGCATGGGGGGCGGCCGACGAGACTCGCTATGGCACAACACAGGAGTGCACGTCAAGGCCTGGTGCACGTGTGTATGTGTGTGTGGGTGTGTGCAGAGTAGAGATGATTGCTTCGCTTGTGGCTCGACAAATCAGCAGGAATTGTGCTTTGTTTGTGCACCGCTGCAATGGCCAAGAAAAAGAGGAAACAGCCGAACCAGTTGGCTGCCGCTAATTCGGACAGTAGCCGTGATGGCCAGCAGCCTGCGGCGCACCATCGTTGGCCTGGCTCGAGCCAAAGCTGGATGCTTGGTAGGCCGTCAATTGGGGTGGAGCAAAACAGTGGGGAAAGTAAGGCCGACTATTTCAACAGGGTCTTGAGCATGAAAGCCAAGGCGGGCATCGTTGTTGGCAGGCGTCAGCTTCCAGTGCGTGAGGAAGCTAAGCTGGAAAATCAGGTGCAATCGTGGCGCCTGCCGGGCGCGCCAAAACACTGGAGTTCAAACACAGTTTGCGATGTGCTCGAAGACGCCGGCGGCCTACAGAATACAGCGTTGACTCAGTTGCGCTTCGAGAATGTCGCGGCGTGGATTTTGCACATTGCTTTTATAGGGTGCATGTGCCTGTGAAGGAAGGTGACGACAGCTGTAACTTGTACATCCTTTTCGCGGCCGCTGTGCGCCAGGCATTGGCCAATCGACAGCCCATCAAGCCCGAGCACCAGCAACAGTTCGCAAAAGAGCACTTCGCCACCCCGGTCGAGGCCAAGCGCGAGATAGAGGTTGACTCGACGGCAAGGAGCAACCGGGCGGCAAATGCAGAGCGCAGGAGCAACCGCGGCCAAAGGACGGCAACTGCCTGTCGCATTGCATTCGGCTGGGCTGACGTGGCTCAAGAACGACCAACAGAAGCGGCCGGCCCGTCTGGTCCGTACGGGGGGTGTGCAGGAGAAGCAGGACGACTATGCCACCTTTTGGGATGGCCGTGACTGCTCGGACAAGCCGACGCCGAGCATGACTTTCGAGGATTACGTCCTTGAAGGCACGTACCTGGTTGGGTTGTTTGAAAGTAGAGGCCGCTTCGAGGGGCTTTTCGTATTGCGATCGTTCTGATTCCCACTGACGCAGCTGTCCCGCCCATCAACCACAGGTACGTTGATCGCATGATACCGCTGTGGCACAACCTCACTTTGACCTGCTGGGAGGGCGACAAAACGAGCTACCCGGCAGCAATCCAGGGCATCAAAGCCGTCGGCGACAAAGCGAGGATTCTGATGAGGCTGCCGATGCGCCCACAGTCTACACCACCACTACGGGGGAGGATGTGGGGCGAAGCCTCGACAGGGAGGAGGGCAGCGACAGCCCAAGCGAAACGCGAGCGATGCCGACTCACGCTTTTTCCAACGCCAAGCGCGGCAGTTTGGTCCGGCCCAACCCCCCACCCCCCAACCCTGCCCAAGCCCACTGTCCATTACCACGTCAACACCGACTTTTGCACCAAGTCCCCTCGGATTACGAGTGGGGGCTGGGTTGGAGTAAGGGTGCGAGAGATGAGGGCGCTGATAAGTGAAGGTCGGGTTTAGGCGCAGATTTCATGTACCATCATCCGCACCGCCTTGTGCACCTTCGATAACTTGCAGCGGCGACTCACCATAAGCCATTGCGCCCACGCACCAACCCCCGCACCATCTCCCGCACCGACCTCTGCACCCAGAACCCTTGGTGTGCTTGCAAGTTAATTAGTCTAACAGTTTTAACATCACCCAACAAACTTTCGATCACCCATCATTTCACTCGTTGGGCAGGTTTCCTGCACGAGCACCGTCGGAAGTGTAGATCCTGTTGCGTCGATATCTTTTGGCACTTCACCGAGGATGGCGATGCCCACGTCGATGCCGAGGAGTTCCTGGAAGGCATGAAAAACAAAAAGGGTTTGTTCAAACAAACGGAAGCAAACTCATTGCTGGCCAGGCTGTATGCTTCTCAAAGGACCGGCGCGCTCGATAGACGAAGTTTGGCTGGATTTGGGTTCCGGGGTTGACATGTCTGCTCCTGACTTTTTCCTTGCTCAGGTCATGGGGATCAAGCGAGATGTTGCTGTTGTGAAGCATCGCTTGCAGCAGGCCGGGCCAAAAAAAACTCAGTTGTGACCCACCCGAAAGTGGCGTTTCCGTGGCAAATTTCTGATAGTTTCAGGTCTTCGCCACTTTGAGATATTCAGGATGAACAAGCAGCCATGCCTCGATGCATCCGCCGGTCTGGCCATTGCACGAGCTTGATTCCAGTGCATGCATCTCATGCGAGCCGGCACAGCCACACGGTGCCTGCAGACGATTATCGGCTTGAACTCTAACGGAATACAACTCCTGACAGCTGGTGCGAAAAAAATTGTTGCTTGCCTCGTGCCCAAGGCCCAAGGCACTGGGCAAGCGCATCGTTCTGGTCATCATAGCAAAATCTGCACCACTTCTCCATCCGACCTGTAGCTGCCAGCAGTTCACTCCGATGCATTCTATTCGAAAGCACTCTGATTTGCTGTTAGCTACAGAGGTAGGGTGGTGGAGACTCACGGCGTTGTTTTGTCCCCCGAAGTGGCGGAAAGGCAAAGGTGCACCCAATCTCCAGAAGCCCGAAGGCAATGCAAAGCACATCTGCGGGCGTGGAATCAGCAAAGGTTAGCACCTGCGAAGACACAGCTTTGTTCGCAGCCATCAGGCCACATAGAGCACGCTGGCCACACCAAGCGGCAAACACACTGATCGGTCGTGTAGACATGGTTAAACATGGTAGGGCCGGCTGCGAGATAGTACAGAGAATGTCATGTTGTTCCTACTTGGCATGTGAACACCTTCGATGTCTTGATCTTGACGCACAGCTCAACCAGAGAATGTGGCGCAGGGGGCGCCTTGCCAGCCTAATCTTTATCCGAAGCACACTGCTATTAGATCGCCTGCCACTGATAGATTTCTCGCCCGATGGCCTGAAATGTGCGGCGAACCCAGTGCAATCAAAACTGCTGAAGAGGGAGCCTCTATTGAGCACGAACATGCGCAGAACTGTCGCAGCCAGGCGCCGTCAGGGACTTGAAGCTGTCAGTGATCTCAGAGGGCAAAAAGGTGCCCGTGGGCTATGCAGGCAGGTTGGCGTTTGGGTCACAGTCGTGGCTGAAGGAATTGAATGTCACAGGCCATCCAGCACGAATTCGGACAGAAACCTTCGCTCCTCGCCTTCAATTCGCTTTGCTTAGATCTGCTTGCACTCGACAAACCTCGACAGACAAGGATAGTTTCTTCCGCACAGGCGATTCGCCGGAAACGCAAGACAGCTAAAGGTTTGCACCATTCCCAGAATCTGGGAAAGAGTTTAAGTTCATGCAGCTCGAGACATCGAACGAAGAAAGACGTCATCGGTGTTTAACCGCATCAAAATTGCACCGACTTTCAAACTCAAAGCTGAAGTACAGCATCCAATGGCAGCCTAGCTGGCTAAATAAGCTACAGACAAGACTCAAGCTCTCCTCCTTTGTCTCATTGACGGCTGCACGCATGCTCGCTCGCTTTGAGCCATCCGCGGTATGTGTCATCAAGTGAAGGCAGACACAGCCGAGTGAGTGTACAATCACGCAGATACATGATCGAATCGACGTGCTCGCCAGGATACCCGAGCATCTCATGGAGAGAGGCAGGTATCTCGAACTAGGTGGCCCGAGTTGATATCGCCCCGAAACTGGCACTGAAACAACACGCGCACGCACGCACACGCGCTCGCACGCACGTCGCCGATTGGTGACTTCAGCACCGGGGACTTGCATGCCGCTGCTCTCGGTTTTTGCTGACCTCACCCAGGAAGGCTCGATTTTTTTTGCTCATCGCCCTCCAAACGGAAGCAGTGCACCATGGGCAGGGGCCCCATACTCTTGCACTTGGTCGATTTTCCGCTCCGTGCTTGCCTCTGCGAGGCATACCGCGAGCGCCTTGAAGGCAAGGGCTCGCCAGACTGGCTTTGGGAGGTCCCGCCCATGCAGCTTCATTTCCGAATATCGAGGATCCATGGAGTCCAGTTGGGTGGCTTCAGGTCAACTAGAGTCGCTAGGAATTCCGCATTCCCAGCCTGCACAGTCTCGAGGCGATAGCCTAAGAGCTGGGAAACTAGAGGGTACCAGCAAAGCTGAGAATTATTCCAGTGGAAGTTCTTGAACAGCTTGCTTGATGGAATCAAGAGTGTCGATCCACAGGGCCAAGGCTAGTTGACAGTTGTCATGTCGTAGTTCAGCCGCACATCCTATCATGCGGGTCATGGCTCTCTACCGAACTTTCTGTGCGCAAAAACAGCTGAAAGAATACGGACGCAGCTGCGACATGTTTGGCAACATCGCCGGCTTCTCGCAACAGTTCCTCTATGACAAGGTCCAACTCCACGGGCGCTTCTTGCGCAAACCCCAGGGACCCGTGTGGCTCAGGCGTGCGGATTGATTCCTTGCTCTCCATGCCTCATCATGCTTCAGCTTGACTCCTGCAAAGGGCAGAGCTCCGCGACGGGCCAATGCAGCTGGGGCTCGTCTCCAGGGCATTGTGCCGAAGCCTTGGAGCGATCACTATTGCAGGACTCCAGTCAGATGGAGAGCTTTTGGCAGTCTCAACTTTCAGGTCGTGGAATCTTGAAGTTCGCACGCATGATGGTCACAGTGGCATGTTTGCTGCGGCATGCTGCGGCTGCCATCGGTTTACCTGATTGCTTACTATCTTCGCCTGACCATCCGAATGGAGTCTCGAAGGATTCAGAAAGCTTTTAATTAAAGCTCTTTCTTTCCAAGCTGGGCTCACAGACTAGTGGCAGCACCCTTAAAGTCTGGGAGGCTCAGCGACGCGGTGGTGATATCTGTTTTGCATTTGGCGACGAGGCGCCAGTTTTGCAAGAATGTTGCTGATGTTCCAGGTACTCCCCAAAGTTACCAGTGGTTCATGAGATCGGGGGCGGGTGCTGCGCCAAGGCCAAGCAGCGACCATCCATTTCACTTCCTGTGCTCCTGCTTGATCGGATATTTGTCAGCTGCTCGGCACGGCCTCGCAACGGCTCGCTGTGCAAAGCACGTTCGTACAGGTGGCAGACCGAAGTCATCCTCTCCCGGTCGGAGGTGATGAATCCAAGGCTGGACCTCTGACGCAGAAAGGAAGTCGGTCATGAGCGGAGTGCTCCCCAGGGCACTTGGCGGCTGGTTGGTGACGACTGGGTGCTCCTCTGCTCTCAGCTCCTTTTCATGGCCTTCAGCTAGAGGACTCAGCCCAGCTCTCACAGGTACCCATCGAGCGCAGCTCGGTTGTCTTTGACAGCAATACCTATGCGGCTTGGCTCGGAGTGAAAGCTCTGCCAAGACAACCTTAAGGCGTCTGACTGGACAATGACAGGTCACCGTAGTGCTCGCAACAAGCTACATGGATTGGCTGGATGCTAAGCATCTTTAGCGAGTTCTGCTTGCTGCGAATCGATGGCGGCAGCTTGTTGTTGGGACATCGGCCAAGCGCAGCTTTGAGCCACTGCCGAGGACGAATTGGCAGCTTTCTAGCATTCCTGGACTTGGTGCTTGTCGCTGAGAGAGTCTGGAAACATGGCATTCCAAAGTCCCACAAAGCAGTGAAGCGGCACACTAAGACTCTCTCACTGGAAACTTTCTGGGGAGACCAGGCCAAGACTGAAGCCGATAAAGGACACAGGCATCTTGTTTCCTGCAGGGCGCATGGATCACGCTGTGCGAACTGGAACCGGACGAGTCTGTGAGGCAGCTCGGGCTGCACATTCCGCAATGCGTCTTCTGAGAAACAGTTACGTTGTTTCAAGCTGTAAAAGACAAAAGTCGCTGTGCACAGATGTGCCGAGCCGCCACTCGCGCAACAGCGACCTAAAGCCCATGATTGCTGATGCACCTAAAAGCCTGGCCTGCAATCAAAGCCCCATGTTAACGAACCTTCCCGATGTGATGGCGTCGCGAGATGGTCATATGCCATGCTGGGATGCTAGCTCCGTCGCAGCCAGCTTTCATGCGGCTCTCTGTATGTTCGGTGAGTCCGCGCATCACGATAGGATTTGGATGTGGGTCAGGACTTTCTTCTTGGAAGCGAACCTCGAGTCCGTGAAGGAGGGCTGTCGGACGACTTGATATGTTGGCCTTGTTGCGAGTTTAACCGTTTAACCGCTAGCGCGAAAGCCGCTTTGGGGGAGTCCCCCTCCCTGACGGGGAGGGGTCGGGGTATGTCGGGGTCCAAGTTCTTGTTGGCAGCCGTCTCAAGATCGAGCCAAAAAATCGAAAACAAAAGCCCTATCCGTGGCAAGAGGGGCTAGGGAGGGGGATAAGGGGCGAGGGCAAAACCATAACATGGTCGCATGGAACCTGACCAAGACCCCTGCGGCCTCCGGTCTCGGCGGATTTGTGCAGACAGAAGCCTTCGGTTTTGGTTGAAGGACAAACCCTGTATGAACGAACAGTCGGGTACCTGTGCCATGACAGGTCAGTGCCGAAACTCCTCGTCCATCAACAGCCCCCTAGCTCGTGATAAAGTGTGACACGACATGCGCATGGCAGAACTCCTGAGTGGAGACAGAGTCTCACTTCGGCTGCACTTGTTTGATGGCTTCTCAGTGCGCGGCCTTAGGTTTATGATGAGGATGACTTGAAGCATGGAGCTCAGAATATCTTGACAGCGACCAGATACGTGCTGCAGATGGCCATGACTTGCGCAGGGTAGAAGAAGTGCTTGTGGCGGCAGCCGCAGATGCGAACGATGATCAGAATCAAAAGGCACGCAGCAGTGAGCTGACCTTTGACCGAATGCAACATGGACACTACGAGTGGCGATTTGCACTGAAGCGATCTGAGTGTGTGAGATTGCTGCCGGAGCCTCACAGGAAAGCTCCAGCAGTGACAACGAGGGCGACCAAATGGAACGTCAAAGGACTGATCTGACAGAGACGATCTAGAACGATGTGCAAAGCTGCTGCCAAAGGATTGTCTTGAAACAGGTGCCGAGTAGAGACCGACTAGCACTGTCTTCAACGATTCTGCAGCAGAGCTGCACTGGTAGCTGATTGGGCTCAACACGCACGCAACTGTCAAAGCAGACTGCACATGCGGTAAGAGCTCAGCGCTCTCTCTTTTCACTGTGGAGTTCAGTGCTCCGTCCGTGGCTCAAGAGAACGAACTCGGCTCCAAGAAGGGGCCCCTTAGGAGCCGAAAGGCTAGGGTTGTACAAGAACTACAAGAGCTATCACTGATCACTGCACATGCCGGCACTTGCTGCACCAGCCCAAAGTTTGGGCTGATGCAGCAAGCTCAAAGAAGAAACTCAGTGATTGCTCGGTCGGGGGGCGTCCCCTTGTGACATAAATCGGTCTATGGCTCCAAGGCATGCTTGCCCTGTTTCTTTCCTGTCTTGGCTGAAGTGAAGGAAGGATCGAAGCGTATGCTCCAGTACGCATCATCTTTAGAAGACCTAGTCGAGCTTCTTCTTTTTCTTCGTCAAGGCATCCGCGAGGTCAAAGTCGGAGGCCAACCAACGTAGCCCCGCTCGTTCTAGGTTGTCTCTGAGCTGGAAGGCGTGGAGTGCGGCACGGATGTTGCTCAGGCCGAGAAGAGGACTTTCATTCCTTTCGACGGCGTCGTAGCCACCATGCGAGTCTGTGCACAAGACGCCGCTGATGTTTTCAACTTGCTTTCGGGCGCAGTAACCAAGGTTTCACGAGGAGGTCGCTGTCCACGAGGACCTCCACCGCCATGAAGTTCAGACCACAACAAACTTGTTCTGAAATTATGATCTTCTGCTTCAAGAATAGATTGCACTTCGGCGTCGTTCGACCCAATCGGTTTGCGTCGCAATTTCCACGTTCTCCATCCCAGAATAAGCATGGGGCTTACAGCTCACGTTGCCCGGGCCGGCCGATTCATCCTCCCGTGGAGTCTCCTTTGGGACGATTGCAATGCGCCTGGTCGCCCACGCTTATAAACACCATGTCCTTCCAGGAATGAACAGCTGGTATCGACGAAAGTCCAGTTTGAAGTTCCCCCGGCGAAGTTCTCCAATCATCTGCTGGATTTCCCTTGCAGTTGCCATGGTGCCTCCTGCCGTTACCTCTGTCAACAGAAGATGGCATCTGGCACACAACTGCGGTTCTGTCTGCACTGCCAGCCACTGGAGTTCACCCAATGCTGTGCGACACGCTTCCATATCGCGTCGTCGCGACAGAACTTCATCACCACGAAGTCGGTCAGGTTCGATGTCAACGTCTGCAACACCATCGTAGCACTGCTGGTCCACAAGGATCTTCTGAAGACCGTTCTAATCCTGAACCGTGGAGATGTCTGTCCCAGCATGCCGGTAGTTGCCTGACCCACTTATAGGCTGAGTCAATCTTGGCCTTGATAGCCAACCATTCTTCGGAATCATCACCAATCCGATGAAAATCATCAGCATGTCCTCCATTGTCCTCCCATAGCACCTATGGTGTGATCAAGTCGTTGCTGAGACAGCCAAATCCACAGGCATCTTTCACCCGGCACAGGCTGTGTGCACCAAGCGAAGACAAGGTTTTATGCAAAGCCAACCAGAGTCCGCATGATTTGTTCTGGGCCTACGCCGAGGGCTTCTCGCAGTTCCTCTACACCAGAGGTCCAAGAGCTCCTTGTCCGCCTCCGTGGGTAAGGTTTGCAAAAAGGCCGTGGCCAAATCCAGTCCTTCCAACATCCACTGATGCTGCGCAGCCATCAAGTACAGCAGATTTCTTCCAAGACTCGACTGAACTGGAGAGGCAGTGTTAAAGGATGGATCCAGTAGGTTTGCATGCTGAAATCCAAGCAAAACAATTCTGGCCTTTGCTTTTCGAAGTCCATCCTTGATGTGAAGCGTAGCAGCGTGTTCCCGACGGTCCTGTAGTGCCTCCTCACGGTCCTCGGGCGGCACCAGCTTCCACGTGAGGGCCCATCTGGCCTTGACTATGCGACCGGAGTCGTAGGCTATCTTCACGTCAGCATTCTCAACATCGTCGAGGCATTTCCTCACTGCTTCATTCCGCAGAAGCCGCAGAAAGGACTCCACTTCTTTAGCCTTGGCCCTGGAGAAGAGTTGTCGTTCATCAGGAGGGAGCTTGCTGACCAACACCTCAGAATCTCTCATCTTCTTGGCAAGAAAGGCAACAGGGTGTCGCAGCTGAAGTCACCAATGTCTATCTCAATCCGGAGACACTCGTTCACTTCGGTCATGGCATGGGAGAGGTCAGTGGTCTGCTCCTCGATTGCGGCTTCAGCATAGAGGCATAGAGCTCATCCACCCAGCTTGGTTCCCCAGCCTTGCTCCACTGATATCCTGCGAGGGACCTGGGATAGTAGATGACGTCTGTTCTGCAGCCAAAATCGTTGAAGACGATTGCAAAACTAGCGCCGTAGAACCCATTGTCGAGGGGCCTGGGGTAGTAGATGACGTTTGTTCTGCAGCCAGAATCGTGGAAGACGACTGCACCATTGGCAGCGGGAAACCAAGTGCTTGAAGACGCTGTCGATCTGCTGGTGATAGCTTTGTCACCATTCTCCAAGAGTAGCCGTCAAGGCAATCCGAAAGCCACACCACTGTTGAGTGGCATGCAAGATGTCAGGCTCGAAGATGACAAGTTTTGCGCGTATCCCAGGCGTAGGATCCATCATGTAATCGTCGACGCGTGGTTGTACTAGAGCAAGATTCATCATGAAGCCATAGACCGCCACCGTCAAAGGATCCAAAACAAGTCAGTATGTTGAATGACCCCTTCAAGTTGTGATGGTCCTTGTGTGGTAGTGCTGGGCCATTGAGTTGATCATGAGACTTGTCCAATAGTGCTGAGGTAGGTGTTGGTAAGACCACCAAAGGAGTAGACCCCAAAAAGTAGCTGTTGGCTCGGTGTTTGGGCCCATCGTAGATGGTGTTGTTGCACAATCACTCCAAGGTAGTTGTAGATCAGGTTGAACAGCTTCTCCCAGTCATCACAGCCACAGCGTTGACGGGTGGCTGCTTCTCTCACATGGCTGCTAATGTCCAGCGCCTTCGAATCATGGCTGTGATCAACGCAATGGATGCCGTGTTTCCCTTCGGAGCTTGGTACGACAGAGTGCCATCAAAATCAAACCCAGCCGATCTGCCCTCTGTTGTGTGCCCCCCTGAGATTGCTTGGGGCTAGTGGTCTCCACTCCCCTTCATGCTACCATTGCCTGAGTGAGCTTGCATCAATCTTTTAAAGACGGTGCTTGAGGCTTCCTCTCACTGTCACAGATGCCTGTATATACCACCTGTACAGCTCCTCTGTTAGCTTGTTAGTTAACTCCCCACAACACAGTGGGGTCTCTCGTTTATGTCCCTGCCATGGCATCAACTGTCGGGCTCTAAGGGGCACAGTTGAGTTTCCACCGGCGAACCCTCTACGGAGGGGTGACAAGGTTCACGCTCGCCCGCAAGACAGCTGACTCAGCTGATGCGCTTGAATGAATGAAAAAAACGATCTGCCCTCTAGAGGCGAATCGCAGAAGCTGTGTGACATGTTTGGCGCAGCTGACCAGGGAGGTGTGTCGTTCCCTGATGAGCTCATGCGTTTCATCACGGATCCATGTTTCTCCTTTGCTGAGCTCGATGATCTGATGAAGGTGTATGCTCAGCATCACAGTTGACGGGGGAGAGAGACGTGTGATGCCTTCGGGTGTGGATGAGACGGAGAGCGGCTGTGCTGCCTCAGCCATCCTCATTTCGACCCCCGACTTCAAGAACCGAGCATTGCGAGGGAAGGTGAGAAAACATGTGCGATCCTGTGGTGAGCTGTATGCTGAATTATACGAGCATTTAAATATTCTGATTGAGATTCCCATCGAGTCTCTTTCCTTTTCAATAGACATTCCGATTGAGATTCCAACGGAATACCTTTTTATATACTCGATTTATATATACAGTTCTGGGACCACACGACAGACGTCTAGTGCCTGCGGGCGGATACTTCTGTCTGTTGTGTGGGGCGTTGGGACGGAGCGAACCCTGAACTGTAATGTTTCACCTCGCTTTAGCTCGAGAAAATGAAATTTTCAATTTGTCGTTACACAACTTGAAATATTCCATTTGTGTTTCGACTTTCCGATTTTCATGCTTTACACTCACATGCATGCCATGTAAGAGTGAAGGCGACTAAATCCGAAGTTTGGCATCAAGCTTTTGCTTTTTCACCCGCCCAGCCTACCCTGGGGGAGAGAAGTGTGATGCCTTCGGGTGTGGATGAGACGGAGAGCGGCTGTGCTGCCTCAGCCATCCTCCTTTCGACCCCCGACTTCAAGAACCGAGCATTGCGAGGGAAGGTGAGAAAACATGTGCGATCCTGTGGTGAGCTGTATGCTGAATTATGCGAACATTTAAATATTCTGATTGAGATTCCCATCGAGTCTCTTTCCTTTTCAATATACATTCCGATTGAGATTCCAACGGAATACCTTTTTATATACTCGATTTATATATACAGTTCTGGGACCACACGACAGACAAACCTAGCAAATGACTGCACGAGCTTCCATGAGGAGTAGGCCGCCTGGTCCATTTCTTGGCCCTCTAGATTCGACTGTTCACGGTTTGCAACACACACTTTGGCTCGAAAGCTCTGATGGAACATTGCATCAGTGGTCTTCACCATCCATCTTTTCCGAAGAACTTGTTTTCAACTTCGTCCTTCAGATCATAACGACAACCATCCACGCGGCATGAAAGCCAGTCGCGACCACGACGTTGTAGTTCTTGCTCCAGGTGCACCATGGGTTGCTGTCGCCAACCAATGCAAGGATGAGGCCATTCGAAGTACACTTGCACAGACGAGTCCTCATCCAAGGTTTCCAGAATGAAGCTCACAGCATCCCATAACATTCGCCGTTTTCGACGTCGTTCAGTTTCGAGCTGGATTGCTCATCTCTCATCATTGTACTTAGTAGTGGACCAAGAGCACCATGTCGTACATAGCAAGGACAACCATATCCTGCGAGGACGTTGTTGGCGACGAAGTTGTTGTCGGCGGCTCCACGTCTCCTTCTTGTAGACGTCGTAGCCTTGCTGAAGATTTACTCGTCGAGGTCGTAGTCCTCGTTGTTCTGCTGCGTCACTGAGCCAACTGTGGGGTGCACAAGAGATCTCCCACAAGCTTGCGTAACCTTCCAAGTGAAGTCCTAGCAACAGTTGTGACATCGTAGCCGCCGCCAGCGTCGTCATGGCCATCAGCTTCTTGCAAATGTACAAGGGCAGTGGTAGTGCTGGACGAGTTTTGTCCTTGTGCTTCATCTTTCTTTCATGTCCGTGCCCTTCTAGTAGCCATTGTCCAACGCGTTGGGATTCATGTTCTCGGTCACCTCCCAGCTTCCCAGTGATGACTGGGCCGGACTCGGGGCCGCTTGAGTTCCCGCTGTGCTCGTCGATGTGCGCCCGAATCAACGTGTTGAGCTGCTCAGCTCTTCCGCATCGATCTTCCGCCGCATTGCCAAACAAAAAATGGCGGAAGTCGGCTTGCAGTTGCCTTTAGCTGTTGCAGCATGCGTAGCGTCATGCCCGGATTATCGGCCTTCGTTGTCTGACCGTGGCTGCCCATGCCAGGGATGTACTCCATCCTCAAGTTGCACACGGCACAGTAGGTCCACTGCCGTGGGCGTTGGATTGTGGCCGCCCTGGAACATGTGACTGTAATGGCACGGCCACTGCGATTGAAGAGCACGGGGGTCTCGAGGGTGCGCCGGGACTCGGCGACTCGGATCCTGCGCCTGAGCCTTGGGCTTCGTTTTTGCGCGATCACCTGCTCGGGAGTCTGCTGAGAAAGCGACATCGCCGATAGAGCACGAGGAGGAAGGAGTCGGGATTGCTACAGGCGGAACTTGTCCACACATCAGCACTGGAGATGCTGAAAAACCCGAAGAGCATGAAGCATTGTACAACCGCCACATCCCATCTTTCGAAAGCTGCAGCTCACGTTCATCTAGCTCGGCATCACAGGCAGTCAGATCAAACCAGACAGTACCTAGCTCCAATACCTGGTGAAAACTGGTGATCGTGGCGTGATGCGAGATGGGGGTCTGTGGCCTGTGGAGCGAATGACCACGTGAGCTTGCCCTTCATCTGATTTATTGGGCTAGATGATGAAGTATATCAAGAGTGCAGTGACCCTTATTGTTCACTGTTAGAGGGTAGATGGTCGGATTTTGATCCTTGGTGTTCGTTGCGAGGCCGCTGGCAACGTCTATCATGATTCCAATGCCACCCCTTCCAAGACAGTCCATTCCAAGACAGGAACCAACGAGGACTTGTCAGATTCACTCTTGAAGTACTCATCGGGATTCGGAAGAGTACAAAGGGAGAAGCTTCGCAATTGACCTGACACGGTACTGCTAAGATGTACTCGACAAAGTGCCCTTCCCCATCTCCCGTTCCGGAACCGAAAAGACGGCCGCGCTGACTGATCAAACTCGATCTTGGCTCCCTTGTCCTGGGTGAGAATGGCACTAATGAGACTCTTCACAACGGCTTTTGGGGCCGCTGAGGCAGTAGCTCCTGAGTCGATCATGCCGAGGTGCCGCTCGGAGGGTGCCGTCACGCGCACATGCGCTTGGTGGCTGGTTGCCATCTCAAGTCCACTGAACTCAAAGCCACCGAGGAAAAGGTCAAAGGCGTACGCATTCACAGTGAGCTCCTTGGACCTGCCCTCGGGTTTGCACTTTCCCTTGCACCACATAGCATGTGCCTGCATCCATGATCCCTTCTTGCTCTTCCCCTAGGCTTCATCAGACTCCATGGCAAAGGCCTTGGCCTTGCCTTTTCTAAAGCCGTGTCCACGCCGATCTGGATGAGGGCAGTCTCAGGCAAAATGTGAACCACCAAAGTTAAAGCACTTACCGGAGCCTGTCTGAAGAACAGCTCCGAAGCCCCTGTCCTTTCTGAGAGCCTGCATGGCTTGTTGAGTTTCCGCCCAAGTGCTTTGGGCTCTCCGCCACTTGTTCAGCCTGTTGGGCCTCCTGCAACTTCTCCTTCAACGCCGCATCATCAGGCTCTTGAGCTGCTTGGGCATCGTAGCTCCACCAATCATCCGCCCACCACGAGTCCTCGCCGTAGGGGTTCTCGTCGGCGTAGTAGGAGTCGTGCTCCTCATCATGCCACCAGTCTTCGTCCGGATCGTGATAGTAGGCCGTCTCGGTCATCCACATCTCGCTGCCGTCAAGCATGTAGGCCTGATGAGGAATTATTTCCGTGATGACTCCGTCCAATCATGTGGTCTTCGTCCCAGAGATTCTGGAGGGCAGAAGCAATGACCGCGTAGTCCATGCTGTTCTTGGTGGACGCGAATATCCCGGCTCTCATCCGCAATCAAGCCGGAGGCCTGCATAGGCCTGCATCCCCGTAGGACCTCCAAGATGAACGAGTCGGCCATGGACAGCTCATCGATGGCCTTGGGTCGCTCAGGCGGATGCTCCGAAGGAGGACGGTCTCCTTGTGAAGCTCCTTCGGCACGATGACTGGGACTGGGAGAGGAACCGGTCGTGGCAGCAGGTGGTCCGTCACGTCGTTCAGATTCGTTGCCGTCAGGTTGTTGTTCGTCTTCAGTTCAACCATCATCAGGTTCATGTTCATCCCACATAGTGTCGCCCCACCACCCCCAGGAGTCTTCATGGTCTTCTTGAACAGGAGGAAGTCCAAAGTCTCGGTCCTCCTGCGCCACACCAATTTTGTCCCCGTGCAAACGTATCAGGGCCGCGACGAACTCCTCATGAACCAGGGTTTCCCGCACAAGGAACGTGTCGATAGGCTCCCGTTCGTAGCGCCTGTAGGCGAAGCAGTGTTGGCAGATTGCTTCGGCAAGTTCAGCCGGACCGAGGGACTTCCAGCCAACCGATGGAGGAAGAGCTTTACTCCTTCCTGACTGTCGAAGGCAGTCCTCGGCCAACTCATCGCCAGCAATCGTGCCGAACCTGAAAGTCATGACAAAAGCTTGCTGGCCTGGTTGCGCCTCTTGTGCATCGGTGTCGACTGCACGAGCCATGCCACTTCTCTTGTATAGCGCCGCCAGGCATGTGCAGTGCCATCCCAAGCAGGAATGTGCGAGCTTTCTCTGCTGTCAGCCATACTGCAGAAAACAAGACACTGTACAAGGTTTCGAGAAGATCACCGTGAAGAGTAGGAGAAAACCACAAAATGTGGGCAGCTTCCAGGAGGGAAGGATCTTGGCCTCGGCCTGCTCAAGGATTTCCCGGTAAGCTTGGTGAACCCGTTTCCACCTCGAAGTTCTTCAGGAATATCGGAAAGGTGCAGGATCAGGTAGCTCCGCTACCAATGCCGCAGAGCTGCACTGGTAGCTGATTGGGCTCAACACGCTCGCAACTGTCAATGCAGAATGCACGTGCGGTAAGAGCTCAGCGCTCTCTCTCTCTCTCCACTGTGGTGTTCAGTGCTCCGTCCGTGGCTGGAGAATGCTGGAGAGAACGAACTCGGCTCCAAGAAAGGGGCCTTTTAAGAGCCGAAAGGCTAGGGCTGTACAAGAGCTATCACTGATCATACCACATGCCGGCACTTGCTGCAGATTCCTCCTGCCGACCTTGTGCTGCTGCCATGTAAGGAATACAAAGCACTGGGAGCATGATTGCCTGATGCTTCAATTATTTTGCGACGATTGATGTTGTTGCCTCTGGGAATCTTGCATTCGAGCACACCTGTGAGAGGACACCTTACGACTTAGTGGAGTCCGACATCGAAATGGAAGATTTATGCGGCGATGTTCCGCTGGAGCGCACAAGCCTAAGCAAGCTTGAAGATCTACCGATCTAGATGCGGAAAGCTTTTGCATGTCCAGAAGGTTTGTGCTCCTGTCTCGTTTTGCAATTTCATGTTAGCCGCTGACACTGTCTCGGGCCTTTGTGCAGGTGAGTGGCTTCGACCACCCGCCGAGCTGGTGCTGTCACCTCTTTCGCCCCAAGGCTACACGATGCCGACGTCGATGCATGCTGTGAATCTAGCAGCTAGCAGAGTGCACCGACGGTAGGATCGCCGAGTGGAGCTGCTGATGTGGCCCGGGTCCGGCGAAGAGTGTAAAACAGAGCATAAATACGCATGGCTCACATGAAGCGTCATGTAGCTGATCAATCTGCCACCTTGTCGAGGTGACGCAGATTGAGCAGGGGGCCCAGTAAGCCGTGTGACGCTCCGCACTATATGCGGCATACAAACAAAAGGAAGCAGGAAAGCGAACACCCGGCCCCGGAAGATCGGTCAAATCGCTAAAATTGCGCCAGCTGCTGTCTTGACCCGACATTGACAATGCAAGGATGGCACTAGATGCTCCAGACGTTGGATCTCTACGTTCGGAGCTAAGCTTACTCTAGTCTCGAGTACAAAGCTGAGGCTCTCCTTCTCCAACAATGGGCAAGTGAAAGATGGTTGGAGGATTGTTCGGATGTCCAGGTCGATGCTTGTCCGGAGACCTTGCAGCCATGGACGAGGAGGAAGAAAACCAGGACTAGCGGGGATGGAAGTTTGTAGATGCCCAGTTTCAAAACCCGGAGACTTTGCAAAGCTTGCGCTGTGCCGCACCTGTCCTCGAATGTTCTAGCAGGAACAATTGGAGCACGACAGGCTCGGCAGCAAATGGGTAGTCATCAAGACGTAGGAAATTGAATCAGGGGAGTCACAAGGCAAGAACTGCAGAGCTTGGTGCCTGTTTCAATGCGGTAGGTGGGATGATAGACAAGGCAGGCTAGCTGCAAACCTGAAAGGCCCACGAGCGTGTGTCCGGAGCTCAGGAACCGCCACGCCGCAGGGTTCTTGAAAGGAGGAGCCAAAAGTCTGGAGTTGGTTTGAGTTCTTGAGCCAGCAACTTGTCGTCATGCCGACACGCAGGCGCTTTCTTGACTTTCTAACCGACATGGGTTCGGTCATTTGGGTCGCCATTGTTCACTGCTTTTTCTGCAGCATCGGCCAGCTCGGCGGCTGTCGAAGCGCTTCGTCGCTTCGTTAACACTGCCATGGTATTTGCTGCAGCCTCAGAGACCTGGGTACTTCAAACAGTCTCGCCCATTGAAGTCAGAGGCTGGTATGGGGTGGTTCTGCAGCGATATTTGTTTTGCTTTACAGCGAAATTATGCCTTCCGGAGACAGATCCCAAGCCGTTCTCATTGTTTCTCAATAATGTAATGACAGGAACCACATATGCACTTCCCTCACATTTTTAATGTTACACGAAGAGAATAAAGTGCCCAAATCAATCAAAGAGAAATGCAAGGAACGCGCGGTTTTTGCTTGTTAATTTGTCCCTTATGAACGAAATGGGTGCTGTGGTAACAGCTTGGTTCTTGAATTCTTGTACCATCAAGATTCCCTCCACTTGCGAGGATTTCGAAGAAGACATGAACGGCCAAGGGAATTCTATTGTCTCTCCAGCTAGAACCTTCTATCTTCTATCTTTCGGAAACGTTAAAATGTAGGAGCCTTCTTGCGCCTCCATCACAATCCTACTTTACTGTGATCCGTGTGCCAGCTCAGGCGCACAAGCGGCGGCCAAGTTTGGTGGTGCATTTCTGTGGAGGCTCTTCTACTCGAGGGTTGGACATGCGCACGATTCAAGCATGGAGTTTTTCGGTGGCCTCCTTGAGAGGGCTTTAGCCGGTGAGATGCTCTAAGGGGTCACCGTGCATGAAGACGTGAGACACCCGACGCTGTGCGAAGCTGCTTTGAGGGCTGGCCTCTGTGCTGGCGACGAGATCATCAGATCAGCCGCCTCTGCGAGGCCGGGACCCGGCGTCCCGGCGTCCTGCGTTGCAGACGTGCATTTGCATGAAAGCGATCGACGGAATGCAACTCGAGGCAGTGGAACCCGGAAAAGCAAAGCTGCTGCGGTCCGGGAACAGCGTCCAGGCATGTTGCCTGGTGAGATTGTCAGACTGCGCCAGGTGCTGCTACTCTTGCTCCTACTCCTGCTCCTCCTTCGACTGCGACGGCGAATGCAACAGCCTACTTCTGCTGCTGCAACTGCCCGCTACTGCTGCTCCTCCTACTCCCACTCCTACTCGACGACGACGACTACTCACCACGACAACTTTAACTGCCTTTCTTGCACCACCGCTGAAATGCGGCCTAGTGTAAATGTTTTGCCGCCACTGCGACTGCTGCGACTACTGCGCCTGCTACTGCTACTGCTGCTACTGCTGCTCACTGCTACTGCTACCGCTACCGCTAACCGCTAACCGCTAACCGCTAACCGCTGCCGCTACCGCTACCGCTACCGCTACTACTACTACTACTACTACTACTACTACTACTACTACTACTACTACTACTACTACTACTACTACTACTGCTACTGCTACTGCTACTGCTGCTGCTGCTGCTGCTACTGCGATTACTACTCCTACCACTACCACTACCACTACCACTACCACTACCACTACCACTACCACTACCACTACCACTACCACTACCACTACTACTATTTCAATTGGACGCTGTGCGAGCGGGCTCAGCACGTTGCGGGCGATTGCCGCATGTGCAAACACTTGACTTTGAAACTGACCCTGTGACCCTTTTGGTCTGAGAAGTCAAACAAAAGCATCTAGTTGTTGCTAGGCTCTGAGCGTCCTAGCCGATTGACTAACAGCAGTTGGTCAGGTGGCTATGCTTTGTGCACAGGGCAGCTTGGCTCTGTTGTACAGAAGGGAGATTGGTACCTGAACGCCGATCGCACAGTGCCAGCATGACTGCACATGTGTCTGCGGTAAAGCACTGACGTCACCGCAAAGGCACAGAGTCTGTTTTCATGGCATGCTGGAGTCGGCAGCTGTGCAAGAGAGCCATCGGCCTGTTTGTGCAGGAAGAAAAAAAGAGAAAGGAGCCGTGTGACAAGGCTGTGCCTCCGCGGTGAGTCTGTCCGGCAGCCATTGGCACCGTGTGAAAGGATATTCGTCGCTGGCGCCAGGGTCGTCTGCCACTGGAGCCGGAACCGGAGCCGCGTTGCCACCAGCTTCCACCAGACCAGTGTGGGTCTGGCCACGCATCACCGTCACGGTGATGTTTGTCCGTCTGGGTGGACGGCTCGTCTCCCTGCCGCTTGTCTCTTTGCTCCTTCTGCCGGTGCCAGAGAAAGGCCGGAGTGTCACCCTTGTTGTGTTCTATGCGCAACTTCCGCTGCACCCTGCCATCCTTCGGTTGATAGAAAATGGCGCGATTCAGACCACCACACTTGCGACTGGTCTGGTCATAGATGCATTTGACCGTGGAATCCACAATCTCGAAATTGTCATCGGTCTCCAGCAGGGCATCCATCTCGGGCCGATCCCGCATTTTCTGGAAGAGGGAGTGGACGATGCCATATATAGTAGACCGTGGTGGCTTTGAGCTCCACGTAGCGGTTTCCCGTCCCTATTGATAGGGCTAGGGTGAAAGGTTTGGCTTCTGTAATGTCCAGCCATGTAGCATGTTTGTCCGTGGCGGCCAGCTTGATGCCGAAGATCCAGGGGACTCAGCCAAGTACCGCGATCCTGTTGCTCCAAATGGTAACCTGTTCGGACGCACCTGTGATGGCTGGCTCCTTCATAATGGAGATCGTGGCCAGGAAGTGAGGCCACTCCAGCATTTGATCCGACTGGCAGATCTGGATAATTTCATCCCTTTTGGGAAGCAGGCGGCTTCCTGCTCTGGAGGGATTGTCGCTGTGGTCCCGGAGCTGCGTGGTCGTGTGCCCTGGAGGATGGCACGTCCACCCGCCGATGGCTGGGGGTCTCGATCGGGCTCTGAGGTGCAGTCTTACATGGCTACCTGGGAGCTTGCGGCCCAGGCGGCATTGCTGCTCCTACTCCATCGCCTTCTGGGAGAGGGACACTTACCGTGTCATACTGTTTTCCGATCCGACAACTCGGCTGCCGAATCGGCTTCTTGGAAAGGTCTCACTATGGCCGTCGGACTTTGCTCCGTTCTCCGTGCATTCTTTGTCTTGCAGGAACGTCTTCACATTTCCGTGCCTGTCGATCACATTCCGGGCATTTCCAACGATGTGGCGGATGGCCTCAGTCGGGGTACCGATCCCGTCAGTTTCGGTTTTTGCCCGTCCGAGTGTGTCGAGATTGACTGCTTCCATAGCATCCGTTTCTGCCATGCAGTTTTATCCGTCCTTCGAGCCCTTCCGTGGCTTTTTTGCCACGTAAGGCCCGCTGTTCCGCCTTGCTTGATAGTCTTTTGGGGCGGTTCCAGTGGCGGGTCAAGCGTGCGGCTCGAACATCTTTGGTCCGACCGCCGCCAAAAGGACCGTGGATTTATTCCCGTCCTACCGAGGTCTGTTTCACACCCGACCTCCGGCTTTCAAGCATCCGATGGAAAAAGAACTGCTGCCCGAGTGCTTGCGAGGGACGACTAACTTAGGGTAACGGACTAGTCCGACCGAACTCATCGGTTAAGGGTTTTGGGGGCGCCCCCGGAGATCGCATCGGTTTAGTTTAGGATTTATAAATAGGGTTTAGTGGTTTGATTTTAGGGATGGCTTGGGCACGCATCGGTTGAGGGAGTTTAGGGCCATTGCGACTGCGGCTGCTGCTCGTGCTCTGGTCGTGCTGCTAGTGCTGCTACTCTAGTACTATTATTACTACTACTACTACTACTACTACTACTACTACTACTACTACTATACTACTACCACCACCACCACCACCACCAGCACTGCCACTGCCACTGCCACTGCCACTACCACTACCACTGCCACTGCCACTACCACTACCACTATACCTCTACCTCCACCTCTACCTCTACCTCTACCCCTCTACCTCTACTGCTACCGCTACCGCTACCGCTACCACTACCACTACCCCTACCCCTACCCCTACCCCTACCCCTGCCCCTACCCCTACCCCAACCCCCACCCCCACCCCTACCCCTACCCCTACCCCTACCCCTACCCCTACCACTACCACTACCACTACCACTACCACTACCACTACCACTACCACTACCACTACCACTACCACTACGACGAAGACGTCGACGACGACCACTACTGTTTCTACTAGAGATACTAGAGCTACAGCTGCTGCTACCGCACTTGCCACCGCTAAACCTAGCGGTGGCATCCGTCCGGGTGGCCGCAGAAGCAAACTGGAAATAAACGTACTACGATGTCGTTCCGGAATGTTGCCCGGCGACATACCTTCAGTAATTGTGCTGATCAGAAGTTTTAGTGCTGCGCTCCGTATCACCTGATCCTGATCATGTGCACACAGGCAAACTATCCGAACCATGACCCGGCAGAAGACAGAAAAGAAGAGGAAACCTCCCCAAACACTCATCTGGTTGAATAACTGCAGCACCCTGGCCCAAATCCAACCTTCATCGCGCACCATCAGATAGCAATTGACATCGAACAAGAGTCAAATCTACCCGCTCCACACAACTTTTTCCGATGTAAGCAAGTTGTGCTTCGGGAGCACTTGAGTTTGCTTGAGCTTATTGACCACAGGACATGGAGATGACTCGGCGTCGTGCTACAAAGCTGCTTTCACAGTTAGATCCTGCACTACTCGACGAGCCTGAAGCTGAACTTCGTTTCGTTGTTCATGCGTTTCGTCGGCAAGTCACTGTTGAGTGGCCCCAAGGTTCATCCGAATGGATGTGGCTTTACCACGGTTGCTGGCAAGCACCAGCGGAGGTGTTGGCCGCAGACCCTGTAGCCCACACCTCTTGCACGAGATGCTGAAAGCCGCTGACAGCTGGTGCTGTTGAGGTTGGGTTGGGGTGGTGGAAAGCGAGGGCCGGATCGTTGAGCGAAAGGTTTCTGTGACTGAGGCACGCGCCCAATTTTGCAAGCAGCGAGGCAGTTGTAGCAGTTTGAAACTCTACAGTTTACAGGCGCGAACAACGGATGCCGTTCTCCGAGCAGGCGCCGAGGCCGGCCCGAAAAGCTGCATGTTTCTCATGAATGAGCAAAGGGAAGCTGCAACCGGCGTTCCTTGCAGAATCTTGCAGAACATGGGTAAGGAAGTGAGGGCTCACGTTTGAAAGGTTCATGCCGGGTAGGAAGGCGCGAAAGCTTGATTCTGCTTCCATATATTTGAACTTGAGCTCACCAGCTTCTGACACCAGACTGCATGCGCATCGCTCAGGTGGTATCCAAAAGTGCCATGCTCCGACAAGCTGCTGAAACGGCCCGAAGAGGACGCAATGGCTTCCCAAAGTGCAAGCCGAAAGCAGAGTTTTTTTGACAGGCTCGTTGCAGCTGCCGGCATTCTCCTCCAACGACGAAGTGCCACTGGCCAGTGCCCCGGAACCGGTTCCCTACGTGCTTTGACAGTGCGGTAGGCATAGTGGTGAGTTTCTTTGCCTCAAGGATGGTTTTACACAATCTCTAAAGCAATGGGGCTATGCGCTCTCAGACAAAATCCGCAACAGCTCTTGTATCTTGTGTACATCTTGTTTGCCAATTCAGCACCAATTCACGGCACCTCCAACTATGCACGTGAAGAGGCCCAGAGGCTCGGTTCGTTTGCAAGCACAGGCCCTCCGCTGGAAGAGTGACACCGGCAGCCGCTCTTTTTTCGACAGGCGCAGCAGCAGTAGCTGCTATCAAAAGCCAGCCTCAGCAGCATGAGCAGTAACTCAGATGTTATGATTATCCAGCATTGATGTGCAGCACAATTATCCTCACTACCCTCGAGATCATGGTTTGCGAGGGACAGACCATGGCAGGTTGAACAGCAGCGTTTTTTCTCAGCAGATCTTGCACTCCGGGCTGCTTTCAGAATCAGAAGCTTCATCCAAGTGTAGGGCAGGAGGCAAAGAATAGTTGTGCTTGCGCACTTCGACATGGCACAGGCCCCAAGCATACTTTACGGAGGACATCCTGGTTGAGCTGAGCCTGGCATCCGTTTCCAGGACAATGCTTCAATGTTTGACAACATGTTCAAGACAGCCCGCAGAAAGTTCCTGAGGGCGTTCAATACAGGCTGTGCATTATGGGATTGCGAATCCAAGCTGTGCGTTCAGCTGGCGTTACCCAATCTGCCGCCCCGTACAAACTCCGCCATCATGAGAAGGGGGAACTGTGCGTAGTATGCAGGACTGTGATTGCAGGTGCACCAGCTCTGGCCGTTACAATCCCGCAACGGCAATTTGTCTTCGTCACAAGGCCTGCTCATAGTTGTTCCCCTTGCAAGATTAGCTCACGACTCTACTATACTCTACCCATCGGAAGACTACTTCGGAGAAGGCTTCAGATCGCTTGGTCCAGGTCTACCGAAGAAGCGGACAAGTGGGCAGCATCACTGAAAGCGCCAGTCAACTCAGCAAATTGCAACATGCGATTTCAGAGGGGCGTTTCATTATGCTTGCAATGCCCTCTTCTCCTCGCAAGGAGTCCGAGCCCAACAAACACGCCAGCCGGTGCTGCGAGTCCTTGGAAAGACAGGCAACCCTTAGCCACCTTTGGTGTTCCTGAGATGGCTTTCGTCATTTCCGATAGTCTCGTGAGGGGTTCTGCGCCCGGCAGCTTCGCAAGTGACCCACGAAACACAATTGGCCTTGAAAGGTTAATGCGGAGCTGTGCCGACTGTGCCGTCAACCGTGAGAGCTCGAAGACATCAAGTCAAGCTGAGGAAGTGATCTGTGTGCTGGCCAGGCTTCGTCGATGGCCAATGAACCGTCTCGTGTGCAACGATTTCGAGCTTTGCTTGGATTTGTGCAAGGACTTTGTGTTGCAAGCCGCTGTTCGCTGCTTTACACACGCTGTAGTGATTCGATGTTCTTTGCAGTTGCAGTTTGCTGGTGTGCAAGTCCCAGCAGGTCGTAGCTAAAACTGGCTCGGTGGCACTCGCCTCAGGACCCTCTCTCGTTGCCAGGGCCTCACGCGAAGTGTACGCTTCGAGCGCATGCAAGAAGCATCAAGTCGGCAGACTATTCATTTCTTTCCGCGGCGACGAGGTCTGCGGAGTTGCTGCGGCTTGCAATCAGCATCTGCCCAAGGTCCCAAGGTATGTTGAGGTCGACCAGACATTGAAGCATCCATTAAGCACCCTCTGCTTGAGGCGCACAAGGCAGTCCCCCTGACAAAGTGCAAATGGCTGAGAGGGGCACCGCTATGGAAAAGGGTTCGTCGAACTCGAGGCAAGATGATTTCAATCCCAAGGTCTGCTGTCACGCAGCTGAGCTGCAAGCTGAAAACCGTCGATCTCACGCCGCTGGATCCGCAGGACCCGTGCGGATTGGGTCCGTGTTTGTTCGTGAAGTCAGAAGACGCACAGCAGCACAGCGCAAAGGCAAAGGTGGTCGTCGATTGGTCGCTTCCTTTTTGCTCCGCTCAGAGATTGCAGACAGTTGCAGACTGATGGGAAGGACCTGTGGGGCTTTTGGGCACCGGCCTCAAACCTTTTCAAGAGCTTAGGGGCCGTTGTGGCATCAAATTACATCAACATCTAGCGGCACTTGAAGTTATTGTCGGTGTCCGTTGGTGCTTTAGAACTGCTAGCAGCTCGCAGCGGAAAGCAGCAGCAGCGGCCAACAGAATCATGCGACGAAATTTTGAGGTTAATGTGTATCACAGCCTCCTGGTGCACTCGTGCTGTCTTTATGGACGCCCAAGAACCTTGAGGCAGAATCTGCCATTGCAAAGCGTGACTACTTCTGTTGGTTCCGAACTGGAGCCTGCCAGGTCTCTTCTGGGATTTTACAACAGCTGTTCATACCTCGTCGCTGGCCAAATCTTCTCTCTTGCAGAGATTGAACATCTCGCACGGCACTCGGAGGAGCTTCACAATGGTTCACCCCTTTTTTTCCTATGCTGAAGCATTTACCCACTTCTCTCCAAGGTGCTGCGAAGCCAGATGCAGAAAGCTAGCACACGACTTATGACACTGCTCGTGCGCGCAGCGGCCTCAGCATGGTCGAGCTGTGCGGCTGGGTGATCCGCGAAAGGCTAAAGGTGTGAGCGCAGGGACTTGACGATGTGTGGTCTTTTGGCTCTAGCACCGCAGACGAGCCGGGAAAGTAATATTGCAGGTTTGGCGCCGAGAACCGTCTGAGCTTGAGGCCAGTGGCTTGAACATGCCCCGGAGCTGGAGAGAGAGAGAGAGACTGATGGTTTTCTGTTTGCAACATGCATGCCGCGAGGGACGGAGGACAGTACACTTTCACATGACACGCAGTTTTGCATGCAGTACAGTTCACGACATGTGCAGCAGTGAGTCCAGAGGAAGGCAAGTGCATGGTCGTTTGCCATGCAGTGCTCGAAGTCCAGAGCGTTTTTTGCAACAGCGCAAGGGCCGCAAACATGCGGATCCGTTACGCAGAGCTACTGCTCGCAGCCCTGGCCTGGCAGGGGCACGCCTCCGTTAAGCCCAGGTACCCGGAGCCGACACAAGACGAACAGCAGGAGCCCGCACCAACGCAGAGCACGGCAGCAACACAGACGCCACCACAAGATGACGACAACCCGTGGCACCAAACAGTGGTGTGGACGGAACCGCAGCCCGAGCCACCGACGCAACACCAGACGCCAGAGCAGCAGCCACAGCAACCGCAGCAGGGGGGCATAGGGGGGCGCCCAACTAATGTACAACGAGGGTGCCCGTACACCAGGCTGCTAATTTACATATTGACGGTAATGTACGATGACCCCCCTTTGTCGTACATTATTCCGGAGGCTATGTTGTGTTTTGGTATGTGCATGCGAAAGTGGTCATTAGGTGGCGGCGACCTCCCCACATCCTGCCGCTTCTCCCGGCTGCACATCATCATCGCTTCGGCTCTCCGGTTCTCTCCCTTTTTCGCTCGCTCGCGCTCTCGTGCTTGCGCACTCTCTCTCTCTCTCTCCCTTTTGATTGTGTCTCTCTTTTTTCAGTCTCTCTCTCCTTCTGTTCTTTCTCTCTTTCGTGAATATATTTTTTTTTCTGTCCCCTCTCTCCCCCCCTTTTCTATCTGACTGTCTCCCTTCTGTTTGTTCTTTCCCTCATCTTCTCTCGATGTCTCTCCTTTGACGTTTTTTTCTTTCTCTCTTTCTCTCTCTTGAGTATCTAAGCCCGAACCCAACTAAACTTGACCAGTTGGTCTTTGACGCCATGGCAACGAGATCATTTGTGCGCATCTTTTGCTCCTTCGGCGGTCCTGCCTTCTCACCCCTCTGTGCAGCAGCTGCTCTTCAGCTGCCGCTGTACATCCACACTCTGGACTGGCAGCCCCTGTTCCGCGATCTGCGCGATCGCATTCCAGAGACATATACATATACATATATATATATATACACACACAGAGGAAGGATCAGCGGCTTCAAATTGTCCACGGAAGCGTTGCCGCCAGATCTGTGCGCAGCCAATCAGAATCGACGCCTGGAGCCACTTGCAGACAACAGTTGCCGCACGACGGCGCGGCACCCTAGAGTCTAGAGTCTAGGGTTTCTGGTTCCAGTGTTTCTGAGTTTAGGGTTTTCTGGTTCCAGGGTTTGGGGTTGAGGGCTTCAGGGTTTCTGGGCATGGGGTTTCCGGGTTTGGCCTCCAACAACTCAACAGCCTGCAATCCCTCTTCTAAGAAGCCTGACAAGCCCTTCTTTTTGAGTCGGCCGAATTGTACATTGTCCAGTCATAAGGTACAATTCAGCCGACCCGGCCCCGGGGTACCTTTAAGGGTTCCTTTTAAGGGGGTTCCTCTAAGGGTTCCTTTAAGCCCCCAGCCCTCATCCCTCCAAAACCCTAAACCCCCAACCCTTAAAGCCGTAATTCTAAATGTAAAGCCTTAAACCCAAAGCCCTAAGCCCTCCCTTAAAGGAAAAGGAACCCATAAAGGAACCCCCTTAAAAGGAACCCTTAAAGGTACCCCGGGGCCGGGTCGGCTGAATTGTACCTTATGACTGGACAACGTACAATTCGGCCGACTCAAAAAGAAGGGCTTGTCAGGCTTCTTAGAAGAGGGATTGCAGGCTGTTGAGTTGTTGGAGGCCAAACCCGGAAACCCCATGCCCAGAAACCCTGAAGCCCTCAACCCCAAACCCTGGAACCAGAAAACCCTAAACTCAGAAACCCTGGAACCAGAAACCCTAGACTCTAGACTCTAGGGTGCCGCGCCGTCGTGCGGCAACTGTTGTCTGCAAGTGGCTCCAGGCGTCGATTCTGATTGGCTGCGCACAGATCTGGCGGCAACGCTTCCGTGGACAATTTGAAGCCGCTGATCCTTCCTCTGTGTGTATATATATATATGTATATGTATATGTCTCTGGAATGCGATCGCGCAGATCGCGGAACAGGGGCTGCCAGTCCAGAGTGTGGATGTACAGCGGCAGCTGAAGAGCAGCTGCTGCACAGAGGGGTGAGAAGGCAGGACCGCCGAAGGAGCGCAAGCTGTGCAAAGTTTAGTTGGATTCGGGTTTGCAGTCCTTGTCCTCCTTCCGAAAGGAGAGAGAGAGAGAGAGATTCAACCCGTAAAACGGGCGGGCCTAAAGCCCCGGGGGCTTAACTCGCCCATTCAACCCTTGCGGAAGGACGGAAGGAGAGAGAGAGAGAGAGAGAATGAATTGAGTGAGCGAACGAGTGCATGAGTGAATGAGTGAGTGAGTGAGTGAGAGACAATAAGAGAGCCAGAGTGAGAGAGACAGAGAGAGTGAGAGAGACCAAGAGGGGGGAGAGAGAAAGAGCAAGAGCAAGAGACAGCGCAGATAACACAAGACTGGAGAAAACACACAAAACGTGGTAGCCCATGCGATGCTGACGTGCACAAGGGAGAAGCGGCCGAGACGCTCGGTTTGAGAAGGTTTGCGAAACTTGAACCAAAAAAAGCTTGATTTGGCACCGAAAACCCGTGTTTATGTACAACCGGGGCCCCTGCCGGAAGTACATTGCCAAACCCCTCCATCGTACATTTCCCGGCTGCCCGAAATGTACGATCACAGGTAGGGCCCCAAAACTCTAGTTAGGCCCACCCGGGGGGGCATCACGCCACAAGCCAACCAGGCGGCGCCCACTCTGCCCACCCTTCTCCTCAGGGGAGAAGCCTGTGAGGAACACCAGCAGAAGCCCACCACGGAGGAGGAACTGCCAGAACCCACAGAGGCGCAACCAAGGACGCCGAGGCCAACCAAGCCGCAGTGCCCACCCAGACCACCGCACAGCCCCAGGCTCCAAGGCGGGGGTGGCAGCGCCTACGGACAGCCGAGCCACGCCGCAGAACACCTCGATGACATCACCACTTGCACGTCCCACAGCCTGGGAAGCAGCAGCTCGGCCAGCGCCGGGCACCCAGCCAACGGCGGTCTCCTACAGGCAATGACCTCGCAGGGCCCAGCCATCCAACCAGCAGCGCTGCAGCCCACCAACATGGGGGAAGCACCGCCTGCAGGCCAAGCGGCGGTCAGCTACGGACAAGCACACCCTAGAGGCATGCAGCCAGGATCACGCCCGACCGAGCCGTGGGGGCTCTATGCCCCAGTCTATGATGGGCGACAGACGCGGCAGACACAGGGAGCCATGGACCCCAGCAACCAGCCGCAGCCTCTACGCAGCAGCCGCAGATAGCAGCGACATGGCAGCCACACGACCAGACCCACGACCCGTGGGACACCTCGGGAGACGAAAGCACGCCACTGGCCGGGCAGCTCGCCACCCGGGGGACTTACTACCCGACGGCGCAGACGCACCCAACAGGGGCAATCCACTATGAGGTCCCACCGTCGGTCAACCAATGGGGGTGCACGCTGACATATGTGCCTCCCCTCTGCAGCCATTCCCCCAACGCCGGGGGCCCGGTGCGCCATGCAGCAGCCAACCATGCGATGGCCGACGACCCACCGCCGGACTCCAGCCAGGCGGCGGCACTGGCAACACCAGCCCTCACCACCACCACGATGGCAGGCAGCGGCACAGCACAGGCTCAACCCCGGGGAACAGAACACACGCAGCAGCAAGCAGCAGCTGTGCAGCGACAGCCGCCACAAGCCCAACAGCCACCGCCGCAGCCGCCGCAACCCACACCCACAAATACGGCCACGTCGCAGCAACAGCCAGATGTGCAGCCCGCCGCCAGCCAGCAAAGCATACCTGCAGCCAGAAACAGGTGGGGGAGAACACTCCAACGCCAACAAGGACAGCCGGGAGGCGAGCCGGCAGCCACCCGCGCCACACAAGCAGCAGCGGCCAGGCAGAGGAGGAACAGCAGTCGCCACAGACGGCCGCACCGGCCAGCAATACCAACCGCAGGACGGGGGGACCACACAGCCCACAGCCCAGGGCGGGGCGCAGCACGAACAGGGAACACCCGGCAACCACCAACCACGAGCGCAGCCGCAGCCACAACCACCACCACAAGTACAAACACCAGGCGGGACCACAGCAACACCGACCACGCAGCAGCCAGGAGACGCCACTCACGTACAGCAACAGCAACAGTGCAACCAGGACACACCGTACGGCAGCGACCACCAGCAGCCACAGCCACAGCCACAACATGGAGGAACAGCCACACCAGCCACACACCAGCATGCAGGCACCGACCCACAGACAGCGGGGACTCCACCCGACGATCCCACGGCGGAGCTGCAGGAGGAAAACAGCCGAGAAGGGGGGACCGCCGCGCGACCCTACCATGAAGGCCATGGAGACCAACGAATGCGGGGCAAGCGCTTCAAATCAGCAGTGCAAACAGCATACGCACAACGAGGCTGGCACAAGAGAGACGACGAGACGTGGAGGGAAGTCGCACACCACGTCGGACTGTGAGAGGAGGATGCTGAGGCGGAGTGGGCAAGGATACTGGCGGAGGGGGCCCGCGCGACAGCCAGAATGGGCAAGCGCCAACAGCAAGGAACGGTCACACCCGAGGAAAGGGCCCGCCTCACGGAGCTGCTTAACAGACACCGCCTGCCGTGGGGAAGCATCCCCAGCAAACCGGCGCAAGACCCGCAGCCCACGCAACAACCCAGCGGGGGGAGCCACAGCCGGCAACCAGCAGAAGGGCAAAGACACACAAAGCCCGAGCCGGCACGGGGGCAACAAACAGCGGCAGCTGGACCACAAGACCCACGCAGACGCAGAGCAGCACCAACACCACCGGCGGTCGATCCAGCAGCAGAGGGGCACATGAGGTGGGACGGCAAGCTCAACGTACTGCTACTGGCCTCAGGGGGGGGCACGCTACCGCTCACCTTCCCGCCGGAGATCCCGATCCTGGCCGGCGTGCAAATACACATGAGAGCACTGCCCTTCGGTGCATGGGCAGGCATCACATGGAACAGAGGCTCCAGCCTGGCACCCAGATACGAACGACACACCCACCGGGGATTCATGCGAGTGCGCCAAGAAAGAAGGGGGGAACTCCCCGCCCCATCAGGGTACATGGGGGCGACCGTTGCCTTCGCTCTGTTCCCTTGGGGGGAGATCACAGCCGGCAGACCTGAAAAGTGGTTGCTACAGATCACGGCAGTCAGCCAACAAGCAGACACTGGGGGAGCAGACCTGCGGCCTGGCACCGGATACATACTCGAGTGGAACCCGACAGAGGGGGTGTGGAAGCTAGGCAACCTGCCGCCGAAAGCAGCCACACAATACTACTACGACTGGGTCTTCCAACGGGGGTCGTCTACCAGCCACCTCCCCGCTCGGCCACCTTCCCGCCGGGGCAGTGGGAGCTCATGGCCATCCGGCTGCTACCGCAAGCAGGGGGCAGAGCAGCACGCAGCAGCAAGCCCAGCCCCAACACCACCACCAACACCGGCTCCGGGGGGCTCCAGCAACAGGCACCAGCACAGCCACGACAGACCGGGCCGGCCAGGGGCGAGTAGCGACGAGAGTTCGCACATGCAAACCACACCAGCCACGCAGCCTCAGAGTAGCACAGCCAGCCATGGCGCGACCCAGCCGGACTCACCGCGTGAGCAGAAACTGACGAGGGAGATGGCAATGGCCAGGCTGTACGTGAGGCAGCTCCTGTACCTGGCCACCTTGCTGCGATTGGGGGAGCACGTTATTGCCACTCTGGAACAAGCCATGGAAGCTCTGGTCCCAGAACTAGAAGGGGGACTGGCAGACCTGCGACGAACCAGCTGCCAAACGCACCCGCTACCTGGACTATGTGGGCATAGCACGGAAGACATCGGGGACAGCGATGGGCCGGACGGCATCAACCAGCACCAAGTCATGGCGGACCTTGCGGCTACCACCCGCGACCTGTCCGCAGCGGCCCAGGTGCTCAGGGCAGCGGCAAGCCGACAGGGAGGGGACCAGATGAGCGTGTGCTTTGAGAACCTCCACCAGGTCCGCCAGGCGATCGGGGCAGCGAGGGGATCAGCCCATACGGGGGACTTTGACTGGCTCTCAACAAGCTGGGGGGCCACCATGAACCTGCTCCTGCAGCCGGCCGCGGACTTCTTTGCAGAGACCCAGCTGCTGAACTTTGTGCACGCCGCGGACGTCGCCGCCATCGAGGAGGGGGCACTGGAACAACCTCCACCAAGGCAGGGGGACTACCGCCAGCAGGCTCACCAAGTGGCCTGCGTGGCGTGGTACCTTTCCTCACTCAAGGGGGAGAAGCAGTGCGAGTATGCCTTGCCATGGTCACGGGTGCCCTCGACAACCCGGTGCCGGTCGACACGCAAACCACGGAAGAAGGGGACGTGGCCGGGCTGGCACTCGAGACCGGGGAAGCAAGCTCGAGCAGCCGAGAGACGACGCGATGGCAGCCGCCACTGACGACAGCGCAATGGTCGGGAAACATCCCTATTTCGGGGGACGCAGGGGAAGCCAGTGGCCCAACGCCACCGGATGAGACGCTGGGGGAGCCTACCGACGCAGAGTTGCTAGCAGCCATGGACGAGTACGAGAAGCAAGTCGAGGAAGAAGCTCGTGAAGCGGCTATGGCGGGTGGAGCAGCCGGGGTCGGAGAGGTTCACCAAGATGAGTCTGACCCGCACAATCCGGGGGAGAACCACCTCGCCAGGGCGAGCAGCCACAGACGCAGAAGAATGATGGCGGCACTGTACGACGACGATGGCAACTTCTGGCACCCCGGGGATTGAGTGCAACGACAAGCACAACTGAGGGGGACAGAGCCGGGAGACAGAGGGGGACCGGGCAGCCAGTAAATGTCAGCTAGAGTGTGTAGTCAGCTCGGAGTGGGCACGTGTATTTGCTGTTGCGCCGGGGCCCCAGAGTGTTGCGAGTAGATGCGTAGTGCGTTTTTGTTTGTGTGCGTGCAACCGGGGGGACAGAGCCCGCCGAAGCCAGCATGCTCACTTTTGACCGTTGCGGTGCGGAGCCCAGCAAACGGTTGGGGCCCGTGGAAGCACGGAGCAGCGACGAGGCCCGGGGGTCCTTAGTGTACGGGGTTATAATGGGGGGTACCACGGAACAGGACGGGGCCTCGCCGAAACCTGGTAGTTTCACGCAGACCGCAAGACCGGGGCGCGTTCGCGCGCGGGAGCTACTGCAGTAGCTCCTTGACCGAGTGCAAGCAAGAGAGAGAGAGAGAGAGAGAGACAGAGAGACAGCCCGGTAGAGAGAGTTGAGTGCCGAGTGAGCCGGAGTACAGATGAGGCGCGTTGGGGGAAGTTGCCATTAGTGGTTTTTTAGGGGGGATTTGACGGTTTGAAGAACGCTGCCCTCAGCCGGCTAATGTGTCACACTGCAGACCGCGGATCCGGTGCGCACCCGTGCGCGGGGGGGGCTTGCTCCCTCTTGTCCGAGTGCAAGCAAGAGAGCAAGAGAGAGAGAGAGAGAGAGAGACAGACAGACAGACAGACAGACACAGACACAGACACAGACACAGACACAGACACAGACACAGACACAGACACAGACAGACAGAGACAGAGAGACAGAGACAGAGACAGAGACAGAGAACAGAGACAAGAGGACAGAGACAGAGACAGAGACCAGACAGAGACAGACAGACAGAGACAGCAGACAGAGACAGACAGACAGACAACAGACAGAGACAGACAGACAGAGAACAGATACGACAGAGACAGACAGACACATACAGACAGACAGAGACAGACAGAGACAGACAGAGACAGACAGAGACAGACAGAGACAGACAGAGACAGACAGAGACAGACACAGACAGACACAGACAGGCACAGACAGACACAGACTAACAGAGACAGACAGACTGACTGACAGACAGACAGAGAGACCGCGCAGCTTCGCGAGAACACCAACGAGGGGACGGACCAGCACACCAACGCCGCCGAGAACGGGGAGAACCTGCCGGCACAGGGGGGCGCACTTACCGCAGCCCAAATGGAGGCAGTCATGACCGAGAGTTTCCAACAAGCGGTCAATGAGGTGGGGGCAATGGCAACGCTGCCAACACAGAGCGAGAGCGAAGGCCCAACACTGCCTTGGCCCGCACCATGGCACGGAGGGGATCCTGGGCAAGGTCGTACTGAGAGAGGCCGTTCTAGAAGCCCGCGTCATGACGACGACGACGGGGGCAGTCACCGCCGAAGGCGTTTACAGGCGGCTTTCTACGGTAAGCACGGGCCCTACTAAAATACGGGGGGGCACTGTTACTTTACTGCAGCCTAAACGTCACACTCTATATGGGGGCCTGTGCAGACCCGTGTAGCGAAACCACAGTGCAGTCAGGGGGAGCATGAACGGGGGAGCAGTTTGTATGTGTACTGTACTCCGCTGTTGCCTCGTGCATGTTTCGGCCCGGCCCTCAGAGTGTGTGCATTAGTTGCTTGACCGTGCTAGTGTGTCTGCTGTTGTCGAAGGGAGGGGAATGCACTACTTTACACCTGAAACCCCCCCAGGCTAAGGAACCAACACTGCAGGTTCCCGGCCGAAATAGGGGGAGGATCCCTGTATAGCCGAGCCTCTCTGAACGATGTTCTCAGAGGGGATACAGACCATCCGCGAAATGCGGGTGTGCGGTGCGCACGGGGGGATGGCCTAGGACGCTGGCCTGAACCCCAAGCCCGGTAGAGAGAGAGAGAGAGAGAAAGAGAGAGAAAGAGAGAGAAAGAGAGAGAGAGAGAGAGAGAGAGAGAGAGAGGAGAGAGAGAGGGAGAGAGGGAGAGAGAGAGAGAGAGACTCTAGAAGTGCATGTCTTGCAGCATTCATGCCCTGTTTGTGTGTTGCTGCTGCTTGTCCCAGTGCGAGTGAAACTGTGCATGGGGGGGCATACCTAATGTGCGACTGCCCGGCACCCAGAACTGCGCAGTGCAATTTTGCAGTCATGTTGAAGGAGGGGCCATATTGGGGGGCTTGTTGCTACCTCCTGTTTGCTGTGATCATGGTCGAGGAATTTGGTCAGAGACAGAGAGAGCGCACCCACGGCGCATAGGGTGAGTTTGGCTTTCCTATACGGTGAGATGGCGGACCCCGGCGTTTCTTGACCGGAAGGGAGAGGCACTCGCCACCACAGGAGCGCCCTTCCTTACGCGCTCCGCTGAACCCCGGGGAGAACTTCAGATGCCGTCCCGATTGGCGCTGGGACCCCAGTGGCGGGGCACCTCCGCCGCCAAAACGCTCTTCAGCTCCGAGGTCTCAATCTAGTTCTTTGCGCAGGCAACAAAGCCAGTAGCTCGAAGCTCCAACCTCGGCTCGAAGTCACAAAAAGAGAGTCAACGGAAATCACCTGAGGGTCCCAGTTTTCGAGCACATGTCGGCTGACGACTTTGACAAGCTCGTGAGCAAGTCAATGTCACATTGCTTGCGTCATCGCCTCAGCACAAATACTGCGGCAGTAGGGAGCAAGACAGCGCATTTCAGGAGCTGCTGGCCGACTGGACAAGAAACCCGTCCAGCTCCCGTATGTCGGATCCCGAATTCCGCTGCCATACCGACAGCTTGGCATATCATTGCATGCAGGTGCTGTACCGCTTTCGCGCCGACGCGCCCGGACCAGCCACTGAATCGTACACCTGTCTAGCATTGCTCTGTTGCATGAAGGTCGGCTTCGAATGGTGCTATGATGCAATGAAAGCTCATTTGCAACCTAGAGCTGTGGAGCTAACTTGACTTTACGCTTGAAGGTCTGGACTACGATGGCTGGGTTTTCCGTTGGGATTTTGGGCGTTGAGAGACTCGCTTTGCCCTTTGCGGATTGCATGCAACCCTACATCATTGCAGCATAGGTTTGTGTGGGCCTTGTGAAAGTCAAGCACGGTTTCTGGTTTCTTTGTATTGCTGTCCATGACTGCACTCCAGTCGCCGACATGCAGTGCCTGAAGAAATTGCATTGCCGAGTTGTCACAATCGAAGATGCCAGGCCCGATAGACGATGGTCAAGCGCATTGTCACCTTTGCTCGAAGACGCATCGCTTGAGGGTCGATTGGTGCGCCTGCCGGACTTTTGAGTTCCTTCCGAGAAGTGTGGCCAGAGATGCGAAGCGAGTGAACATGGTCTGGTGAGGCGTACAAGTCGGGCTATGATTGGACCATGCGGGAACGGCTAGACTTGCTCTGAAAACCCTCGAGTGCGAAAAATCAAAAAAAGCACATGATGCAACAAGTCTAGCATGCATGAGCATGAAGCTTGTGTTCCTTGAAACCCAGCAGATAGGCCATGTTTGTTGATTGGGGTGACGGGATGTCAATGCGTGTTCTCGCATACATGAAGTAAGTCTTGTAGAGTTTACCTACGCGATCTTTTCAAGGCCATTGTCCTTACAAGAGAAAAGTGAGGGCAGAGCCATGAACCTGCAGTGTTGATTGAAAGCCTTCAGCAAGAGCTAGATGCTAAGGTTGCTTCTGTATCAAGAAGATCAGCAGGCTCAGTCCTTTCCTTCGTCTCGGGTTTTTGTCATTTCCATTCTCTGTACAAAAGAATTGTAGCTGTGGTCGAACCAATAATTTCAGTGGTAGCTAGATAGAATTATTCATTCTCACACGTCGAACAAGTTCTAATGTTTAACTGTATTTTTAAATGGATATTCAATGCGGTCGAAAAACTTTGTACTAGTGTATCTAATCTTCTCTTCGTTCCTCTCAAGGCCACTATTAGTAATATTGTTGCAATTTTGACTATTCCCATTGTTATTGACATTTTGTTTCTTATTATCATAGGTTTGAGGCATCATCTATCGTAATTATTGGTTTTCAAAATATAGATGAAAATAGGTAATTAAAATCTATCTATAGTTTTCTTGTCTCAGAATTCGAATAAATTATCTATGAAATAAAGAAAGAAAATATTTTAATAAAAAATAGTATCGTTCTTAATATTTTTAATATTACATTATTTTTCTACTATATCATATTTTTATAATATAATTTTCTAGACATTATGGAATTCATTATAGAATTATATAAGAGATTAAGTAAGATTAAAAGTGAAAAAGTAGATAAATTTCTACAAGATTTATCTCGTTTTATATTATTTTTCGGTAGGTATGGGTTCTTGAATTCTTGAGTAAATTGAATATAGACCTTGATAAATTTCGATAATAATATATATATATATATATGAAATAGGAGTTAGTTATTTTTTATTGAGAATAAATAAGATTCTTTTTGAATATTATTGAATATATATTTGGGATTTT